GGAGTAGAGGGATGGGAGAGGAGGAGGGAAGGAGAAGGAGGGGAGAGAAGAGGGAGGAGGAGGGAGTGGGAAGTAGCGCGGAGGGGGAGTAGAGGAGGGGAGAGAGGGAGGGGAGAGGAGGAGGGGATGCGAGGGAGGGGCGTAGAGAGGAGGGGAGAGGGAGGAGGGGGAGAGGAGGATGGGAAGAAGGATGGGGAGAAGGAGGAGAAGGAGGGGAGTAGAGGGAGGGGAGAGGAGGCGGGTGAGAAGGAGGGGAGAGAAGGGGGGGAGTAGGGGGATGGGAGAGGAGGACGGGAGAGAAGGAGGGGAGAGAAGGAGGGGAGAGGAGGAGGGGAGTAGAGGGAGGGGAGAGAAGGAGGGGAGTAGAGGGAGGGGAGAGGAGGAGGGGAGAGAAGGAGGGGAGTAGAGGGAGGGGAGAGGAGGAGGGGAGAGGAGGATGGGAGAGAAGGATGGGAGAGAAGGAGGGGAGAGAAGGAGGGGAGTAGAGGGAGGGGAGAGGAGGACGGGTGAGAAGGAGGGGAGAGAAGGAGGGGAGAGGAGGAGGGGAGTAGAGGGAGGGGAGAGGAGGACGGGTGAGAAGGAGGGGAGAGAAGGAGGGGAGAGGAGGAGGGGAGTAGAGGGAGGGGAGAGGAGGAGGGAAGAGGAGGAGGGGAGTAGAGGGAGGGGAGTAGAGGGAGCGGAGAGAAGGAGAAGATGGAGAAGGGGAAAGAGAGAGAAGGATATAGAACAGAAAATGGGCAAGTGAGAGTCAACATAATTAATGTATGTTCTTGTTTTGTTTCCGTGTTTGTCAACCCGTCCTCCCCTGGGGAAAAAGCCACAGGTTCTGAGAGAGGAACCAAACACACCCTACAAAGAGTTGGCAAATATTTACAGTTTACACACACACACTGTGGGTGAGTGTGTGTGTGTGTGTGTGTGTGTGTGTGCGTGTGCCTCAGCCGGTTACATATGGTGCCTGAGCGTGTGACCACACATACCGTAACCCCAGTGAGAGAGAGAGAGAGAGAGAGAGAGAGAGAGGGAGAGAGAGAGAGGACAGAGAGAGAGGAGAGAGAGAGAGAGAGAGAGGAGAGAGAGAGGAGAGAGAGAGAGAGAGAGAGAGAGAGAGAGAGAGAGAGAGAGAGAGAGAGAGAGAGAGAGAGATCAAACACATGCGGTCATATGGTCTGAATTAGGGTCAGTCCTCATGTTTCATTATAAAATCCAATAAAGCAGCTCTTACACAACACACACACACACTTAACACTGCTCATACACCACAAACACTGCACATATAAACATAACACACAGACATGTGTGGATGTGGTCACAGTTGGGAACATTTTTTCCTAAACCACAGTCCCACAGTGCAGCATGAGGTTATGCCCCCTGTAGGTTCCGTGTTAGGGGCTAATGGGCCCACCCACAAACAGGAAACGGAACATGTACACACACGCACGGACGCACGCAAGCATGCACGCACACACATGCCCAAACTTTATTACAGCTCACACAATGTCCCATTATAAGGAGCTCTAACAAGCCTTAACATCCTGTTGGAGATCATGTGTCTGCAGTCTGATATCTTTATTTCCTCATCACAACACACCTGAAGGACACAACTTACTGTGTCTTGGTCCGGCTGAAGTACAAGGGTGGAAAACAGCTAAAGAAATTGTGAGTTGTCACGCTCTCATGGCGACTTCATGCTTTTCATTAGAGTCTGAAACCCCCCCAGGGGTCCACCCCTTCACACATACGAACACAAACACACACACATACATGCACACACGCACACACAAACACACATACCGAGCACCCTGTGTGAAGATGTTTCAGATTACTCCAGTCACACACAGCAGTTAATGCGTCAACAGCAGGAGCAGCCGTCCTCTCAGCAACTGAGCTGCTTTGTTCTCAAACATGGAAAATCTCCTTTTAACTATCCTAAATGTGATAGCGATCACTACAGTGCACATAGACAGACACACACACACACACACAGCCTTGATGTGATACAGCTGCTGCTTTGGCGGATGATTAAACAGGAGCAAGACACAAATAACAGGGGCGCCAAAAACCACACGCCCTGGCCCCGGAATATTCCACAGCAACACCGCTTTGCTCTGCCACATGATGCACAAACCTGCTCAGCATTATAGCTCTATCAACTAGAATATATCAAAGCTGATCTCAGGGAGTATCCATGTTCATCTAGACCAGGGGTGTCAGACTAATTTTGCCATGGGGGCCACATTCTGTCTTCAACGAGGTCCGAAGGGCCACACTGAAAATGTGTTATATTTCTTCGCTGTCAAAATCTGCTCCAGCGTTTTTGGAATTTTCAATGCTCTCTGAATGTCAAGCTTTCCTTTCGGTGATTATTAAAGAGCTGGACAAAGAAACTGTATGAATGTAGATCCTTTCTAATTTCTACACATTATCAATTTGGTTTCAGTCATTTTAAAGTATATTAAGTTTGTTTCCCCCCCTTAAAAACAATATTTTCTATACATGTTTTTATTTTTTTTACTCAAACCACCCGAGGGCCGGATTGAACCCCATCGCGACAATATGAGGCTGTTACTGTCCAGTTGGCTGTACAGTCCACAAGGGAGTGAGGGTAGAAGGCTGTGTAGAGAATGGGAGCTAAATATTCAAGGTTGAGTAGTTCTGGTATAGACCCAGTCGGTATTCGACAGAAAGCCTCGACCTTGCTCGCCTGTGGGGAAAACAACCTGTGGTTACCTAGGTTACCCCATTGGCTCACAGCAAAAACGTGTCCTTTTTCAAATGCAATTTTCTTGTTATCTGCATGTTTTAGTCCATTTTAAAACTACATTCAGAAAAGCGCAACATGTCTAAAGATTACTTTTCAACATTGCCTGCTCCCTAGCGATCTCAGTACTTAGAAAAACGTAATATTGTAGGGCTTCCCTCATGCCCCTTTTCATGACGGTGCTAGCAGCCACATGAGTGAGTGAGCGCTAGCTAGCTACCGACCGGAACATTAAGCTAGCCAAGACCAACAACACAAACAAACAGACTATACAGCTACAGGTAGCGAGTGGAGTTACAGACTATACAGCTACAGGTAGCGGGTGGAGTTACAGACTATACAGCTACAGGTAGCGAGTGGAGTTACAGACTATACAGCTACAGGTAGCGAGTGGAGTTAGCAGACTATAACAGACTACAGTTACGAGGGGAGTTCCAGAACTTAGCAGCTACGGTAGCGAGTGGAGTTACAGACAATACAGCTACAGGTAGCGAGTGGAGTTACAAGACTAGACAGCTACAGGTAGCGGGTGGAGTTTACAGACTATACAGCTAACAGGTAGCGAGTGGAGTTACAGACCTATACAGCTACAGGTAGCGAGTGGAGTTACAAACGGACTGTACTAAACAAGTTAAATGTCTTACCCGTGAGGAAATGTTTTCCACACACATATTTACGTGTAGCCAACTTGGACACCGCATCTCCACATTTCCCACTCTTCCACACAAATAGCCTGAAGCCACAGGGCTCTTCTCGCAGGCTCCATTTCCCTACGTGGGAGCATTGCGAACCGTAGGTCGGGATTTTTGACCTGGCTACATGTACATTGAACAGCACAGCTGCTTTTTTGTTTTGTTATTTCTGTATGCAAAACATCTACGACGAAGTTGGCTCTTTTACAATGGGGGTCATTAGGAAAGAAAGTTTGTTTTCCCCAATTTGTGGTCGGGGTCGAGGGGAATTCCTTATTGTTACATGAATATTGACTAGGACTATAAGATGCATTCTATAAAATGGGTGTAGGTGGTTCTGTCACTTCTTCTTCAAAGTGTTGTAAGGTTCGACAGTTTCTGCAGAGTAGGTCAAAGCCTCAGCTAAGTACTCATGAAGGTCTGCAGGTCATACATGCCGTTCAGGGTATACAGAGAACACCAGAAGACCAGGTCTGGCTAGATGACTAGTCACAAAGGTACTTTAGTCTGAGGGCCAAATGCAGCTACGTCACAACACTGTTCTGAAGATTCCAGCAGAGCCCGGCATTTCACCCCTCCATGAGGTCAGATGTTACCCTGGACACACAGGGTTATGGTCAAGATTAGGATGGTTGCCGGTGCTTTGAAAACCTCTTTTAATATAAGAATAATATGCCATTTAGCAGATGCTTTTATCCAAAGCGACTTACAGTCATGCGTGCATACATTTTTGTGTATGGGTAGTCCCGGGGATCGAACCCACTACCTTGGCATTACAAGCGCCGTGCTCTACCAGCTGAGCTACAGAGGACCACATTTGTCTGAGTCTGATAACCGCTGATCATAAATTCACAGCCAATGCTCTCCTCTGGCGTAGTAGGCTGTAATTCTACTTCACAGATCCTCAGCACAGAGGATTTATTGAATGGGGACAACCGTAGCATGCGCTGACACGCACATGACTGCGTTTCAGTTCAGAGGCAAAGAGACTGGCTAATCAGAACAAGATCATCAGAGTCGTGACCTGTCACTATTGATTATAGACACCAAACCGAGACGGTTGTTAGAAAGACTTATCTTAATATATATGAGTGTGTATTCATGCATCTGTAAAAATGCATACCACAGTTCCACATCAACAATGTAGTAAATAGTGAATTTCTATTATGGTGACACTAAAACACTTAATCTATTCTCCATTGTTACGGCATTTGATGATCACGACTGAGAGATGTTTACAAGCGAGAGAGAGAGAGAGCGAGAGAGAGAGAGAGAGAGAGAGAGAGAGAGAGCGAGAGAGAGAGAGAGAGAGAGAGAGAGAGAGAGAGAGAGAGAGAGAGAGAGAGAGAGAGAGAGAGAGAGAGAGAGAGGATAAGGAGAGAAACACATACTGTATATGACCCTACAGTAGAAGAGCGTTGGCTCTGTCCTGCTCTGTACATCTCTGTAGGGAATGTAGCTTGGTTTTCCATTATAACCCAAAGCTGCTGAAATCTCCCTCTCCTCACAACCCTGGCCTGCACATAAAAGAGGAGAGTGAGTCCAACATGCCGCTAATTCAGAAAAGGTTTGTCTCCTCCTTTCAAGTCCAACAACTCAATATCCTGTGGCAGGGAGTGTGGGAAGCGAGGGGTGAGTGTATGGAGTGAGGTGTGAGTGTGGGGGTGAGTGTGGAAAGCGAGGGGTGAGTGTGGAAAGCGAGGGGTGAGTGTGGAAAGCGAGGGATGAGTATGGGGAGCGAGGGTTGAGTGTGGGAGCAAGGAGTGAGTGTGGGGAGAGAGGGGTGAGTTTGGGGAGCGAAGTGTGAGTGTGGGGAGCGAAGTGTGAGTTGTGGGGAGCGAGGGGTGAGTGTGGGAGTGAGGGGTGAGTGTGGGGAGCGAGGGGTGAGTGTGGGGAGCGAAGGGTGAGTGTGGGGAGCGAGGGGTGAGTGTGGGGAGTAAGGGGTGAGTGTGGGGGAGCGAGGGGTGAGTGTGGGGAGCGAGGGGTGAGAGTGGGGAGCGAAGGGTGAGTGTGGGGAGTAAGGGGTGAGTGTGGGGAGCGAGGGGTGAGAGTGGGGAGCGAGGGTGAATGTGGGGAGTGAGGGGTGAGAGTGGGGAGCGTGGGGTGAGTGTGGGGAGCAAGGGGTGAGTGTGGGGAGTAAGGGGTGAGTGTGGGGAGCGAGGGGTGAGAGTGGGGAGCGAGGGGTGAGTCTGAGAGATCAGCCTGGAAAGCAGAAATACACAGGGCCTCATGCGGACAGTCTGTTGCCTCTGTGTGTGTTTGTATGTGTGTGTGTGTGTGTGTGTGTGTGTGTGTGTGGTGTGTGTGTGTGTGTGTGTGTGTGTGTGTGTGTGTGTGTGTGTGTGTGTGTGTGTGTGTGCATGTGTGTCTCACATGAGCACATGTTTGTTATAACACCACCAGTCGATTATGCATCTGCTTCCTGATTGGCTAATTTTATCCTGTTGGGGCCATGGGACACCCCCGTCTGCGAGGTGACCTCCAGTAAGCCTGCTGATTGGCCCAGATGTGTGCCCTTGTTAAACCTAACTGCTGCTTACACTAGTCTGATCACAGGATCAAGGGCCCTAATGGACTTTACTGCTTATCCCTGGGACCGGGCTCTCCAGCACACCCGGGTGCTCCAGGTTGAAACTAAAAGCTATAAAAGCACTGTTCCACGAAGACCGATCACTGAGCCATTTATTTTAGACTCAGAGGTCATGACCTCTGTGTATAGACATATGAAGAGTCCAAGGGCCAGCCACAAACCAGAACATCCATTTAGCGGAAGCTAAATATTAGATAAAGGCCAGTAGCATAAGCTAAATATTAGATAAAGGCCAGTAGCATAAGCTAAATATTAGATAAAGGCCAGTAGCATAAGCTAAATAATAGATAAAGGGCAGTAGCATAAGCTAAATATTTGTGATGAGTGTGATGGAAAGGAGTCAGGCGCAGGAGGGTAATCACCGAATACAGAGTTTATGCCTTCGTAGACACACAAATGCGCTCAAATAGCGATCAACGAAACATGCACAGGGGAAAATATACCCTGGCATCAATATGTTATGAGTAGCTCCACCGAGCTACACTACTCTCACAAATAAAAATCACCCACAAGGACAAGGGGGCAGAGGGAACACTTATACACGGACTAATTAGTGGATAGGAACCAGGTGTGTGTGATTGACAAGACAATTGTGATGATGATTGGGGCGGCAGTGGTTAGTAAGCCGGTGACGACGAACGCCGAACAAGGAGGGGAGGCAGCCTTGGCCGAAGTCGTGAGAATATTAGATAAAGTCCAGTAGCGTAAGCTAAGTATTAGATAAAGGCCAGTAGCATAAGCTAAGTATTAGATAAAGGCCAGTAGCATAAGCTAAATATTAGATAAAGGCCAATAGCATAAGCTAAGTATTAGATAAAGGCCAGTAGCATAAGCTAAATATTAGATAAAGGTCAGTAGCATAAGCTAAATATTAGATAAAGACCAGTAGCATAAGCTAAGTAGTAGATAAAGGCCAGTAGCATAAGCTAAGTATTAGATAAAGGCCAGTAGCATAAGCTAAATATTAGATAAAGGCCAGTAGCATAAGCTACAGTTTAGATAAAGGACAGTAGCATAAGCTACAGTTTAGATAAAGGCCAGTAGCATAAGCTAAATATTAGATAAAGGCTAATAGCATAAGCTAAGTATTAGATAAAGACCAGTAGCATAAGCTAAATGTCACATGGCCTGTGTGCCTGCTGGTAGTTTGAATAAGCCAAACATTATCATAATTATCATTATGTAAAAAAATAAAATTAAAGAATCTTCCAAAAACAATAACAGTTGTGAGAATTAATGGTATTATAGGCAATTGTACATTACTTTTCACAATGCAAATTGTTTATCATAACAATAATGTTACATTCACTGCTAAATTGTACTAAATTTCACCTGCAAGATATTTTCCTTTTTTTTTTAAATCTGTGACTCCGCAAATGGTGGTCCTCAAGAGCTTTTGACAGTGATTTGGTGGTCCCTGGAACGGAAGAGGTTGGGAACCGCTGACCTAGAGATTGTGATGTCCTATAGTACACACAATGCATGAAGTGTGTGTGTGTGTGTGTGTGTGTGTGTGTGTGTGTGTGTGTGTGTGTGTGTGTGTGTGTGTGTGTGTGTGTTGGGATATGTTTGTACATGAACAAACTTCTAATAGCATAAACAGTTTGTGGTATTATGCCACCAGTCACCAAGCAAAAATTTTTAATACTTTCTTTCTTTCTATTCTCACATCTCTCTCTCACTCACACACACACACACACACACACACACACTTCGGGTGAGACATTTTGAAACAGGCCTAGATTACTGTTAATCCTGGATCAGATTGGGTTAACAGGAGCTTCTCAGTCCTGGCCCTGTTGTAAACTGTTGTTGGATAACACAGGCTGTTTTGAACTATTTTTGTGGTCCTCTGTAGCTCAGCTGGTAGAGCACGGCGCTTGTAATGCCAAGGTAGTGGGTTCGATCCCCGGGACCACCCATACACAAAAAAAAAAATGTATGCAAGCATGACTGTAAGTCGCTTTGGATAAAAGTGTCTGCTAAATGGCTTATTATTAGAGAGCGTAGTGAGGACCTACTGTGCTTTATACTAGTCCTGCTGAGACTGAGGGTGTCCTAATATGGACACCGTACTTATTGATCACACACAGTGGCCTCATGGGTCATTCCTCCCAGTCTCCTATACTCAGTCATCGTGATCAGGGTTTACCATACATCCATATTGGTAATCTTGTCCAAACCTCCATGGACTAAAGTTGAACATTAGGTCAACCTCAGATGTAGTACAGTGAATCACCTGGTTGTTGGCTTTGATGCTTCCTTGTGTCAAGTTACAAGCAGAGCTATCATTTAAGAGAAAATATAGTGAAGAGTAAAGCTCCGTGTGTACACGTGCAGACGCACACACACACACACAGACGCACACACACACACACACACACAAACACACACACACACACACACACAAACACAAACACACAAACACACACAAACACAAACACACAAACACACACACACAGTTTTAATATGATAACTAGTGGTCTGTCTTGTGGAATGCAGGATGAGTCATGGGATGTGTTTGATGGCTCTAATAAACACCATGGATCATTCTAGAACATTATATCAGGGCAATAATTTGTCACAGCAGCACATTGCCATGGTGACAGAGGAGCGTTGTTGCCAAGGAGGTGTTGTGGAGATCAGAGGATCAGAAGATCAGAGGATCAGAGAGCAGCCTTGTTACTGGAGGAAGTAAACAAGAAAATGGACTCCGCCCCATAGCACACATTACACACCATTGTGTCTTGAGTAACATCAAACCATGAAGAATCCCTGAATGTCTGGTCTATGGCTCAGATAGCCTTGCTCTCCTTGTCTCTGTACAGTAGAGGGCTTAGCCCCCCCCCCCCCCCGGATAGATGGATTAGGTGTAAGGCAGTCAGAGAAAGGGCATGATTTACCCCCCTCCACCCCTCCACCTCTCCAGTGTTGGCTGTACAACTTGTGTTTTTCCCCCTGGTCAATTTCATATCCAAAACAAAGTGGATCTGTGCCCCTGTCCTCCTCAGGGGAGGCTAGAGAGGGGGAAGGAATAATCTGATTGTTGTTTCATATTTTCCTGTGTGTAAGCTGCTGTGGTGATCCACCCCTCCACCCCCCCCCCCCCCCCCCCCCCCCCCCGATTAAATGAATCGGCCGCAGAGGCAGGTTCCCAGGCACTGTGATCCGGTCTGATCCACTGTGATCCGATTGCCTGGCAGGCAATGTGGGATGCAAGGCTAAGCCTTGTTAACACAAGTGTTTAATAACTCAGCTAAATCTGCTTAGCTCCTCCTTTCGTCCCGCACACACACACACACACACACACACACACACACACACACACACACACACACAGACCCATTAGTGTCAGTACAGGCCTATATAGGGTCACATGGCTACAGCAAGCTGCCAGTATTATCCTGTGTTGAGGGTATTTCCCAGAGCGTGTTTTCATTAGTGTTAAACAAACGCTTTTTATCCAACTATGGAGCCATCTTTGTTCCCCTTGAGCTTTACAGTAATGTCACTCAGATCACGGGTTCATTATCACTGAGCTCTCTGTAAAGACACAAAGAGAATGCCTTTTACAGAAAAACGATTCCACGTACAGAGATGCCTCAGAAAGTGATTGAGCTAAATCGATAATTTTTCTCCTACAGATATGAAATAGTTTTATGCTGTTGAGTGCATTGACAACTACAGCCCAGAAAAATACTGCTTTCTTTTTTATGTTGTCAGAAAAGTTTTTCAAAGAGAATGGGGAGATCAAGCAGAATGTCCTAACGTTAGCACTGTTATCGTTTTTTTAAAAGAAAATTCACTTCTCCTGTGAATGTGAATCAGTGTGTGCGTGTGTGTGTGAGAGAGAGAGTGTGTGTGTGTGTGTGTGTGTGTGCACCCTTAACCCCCACCCCTAGGTAGGGAAAACATGACCAGAGTAAACACCACAGTGCAGTTTAAACATAGACAAACCACAACCAGTACAAAACGAAAACAAACCTAGACTCAACACACACACACACACACACACACGGTGGGCTGGTGGGAGGAGTGTTTGTAGAAGAACGAGGGAGGTCTTCAGGATCCTCTAAACAGGATGGTGTTCCTTCATATTGATATTGTACTGGTGCTCTGTCATATCGAATCAGCTGCCCATAAGTACGTCTACCTTTCATTGATGAAATGAAGCATCGCTGTTTATGCTTTTGATAACCTGCGTGTCCTCCAGCAGGTAGAGAGGTGTGGTCAGAGAAGGGGTGCAGCTTGGCCTGTGGGTTGTTGGGTTGTTGGGTGGTGTTAAGCATCACTAATCGGAGGGCAAAGACCCAACTCTTCACGGAGAGCTTGATGAGCCACTCAGCCCTGGTACATCTGCTATGCATTATGAGTTCCACAGCTACACATGTAAGGAAACACAAACAGAGCAACCACCATCCCCTCCTTCTCATCACACACACATGCACGCACGCACACACACACACACACACACACACACACCACACACACACACACACACACACACACACACACACACACACACACAACACATACACACACATACATGCATCAGGGTTGGGCTCAATTCAGAATTTTTGAATTGACTCCCATTAAACTCATGAGTTGAAATTCGAATTGAACTGGCCACACCCCACAGGATGTAGAATTTGAATGTGAGTGACAGGAAGTATAATTTAATTCAGTGCAATTCAAATAAATTCCACTCAGTCATAGAACATGAGAATATTATTGAATCTGACATGTCACACTTCCAGATACCAAAGAATATATCACTTTTCTCTGGAAACAATGTTCATATATTATTTTAACCTTAGTGCTTAGAATAGCCAATTGTATTTCCACCAACCATTTCATTTGTTTGGCTTCTTTTTGAAGGCCTTAAGGTCAACTTGAGGGTTAAACTAATGCATTCTGGGAAATGTAGTATCTTTCCGCCCCAATATTGAACATAATTTAAGTGATTCATGAAATACAATAACTTAGAATATTCATATACCGGTTTTGTTTTCCTTGATCATTTATTTTGTCCTGAAATTCAATTATATATGTTTGATGTTTTATGTACAATATGTATATTTGTATAGACAACACCTAATATAGAATAGAGGCATTTGAATTTCATAGAATTTTACTGAATTCAATTATATTTCCTTTAATTAAAATTCGAATTGAAATTCAATAATTGAATTTACTACTTCAATTCAAATTCAAGAATTGAATTGGAATTTATGAGGCATTCTCAATTCAATTCTGAATTGAGCCTAACCCTGGCACGCACGCATGCACACACACACACACACACACACACACACACACACACACAGTGTTATATACACAAATACCCTCCTGAAAGTATGTGTGGGACACCCAGCAGAATGGCTGTGGCCCATCTGGGCCCAATGTCCCGGTCAGAACCAAAGCAGCTCCACATGTTGCCTTTGAAGTGGCTCTGAGCCCAGCTGGGGCTGATAAACCAGGGGGTTTACGTTGGTTCAGAAGTCAGCCTGGAGGGGAGGAGGGAGTTGGGGGGATCGAGTGTGTGTGTGTGGGGGGGGGGGGGGGGGGGCACAGTGTGTCATGTCCATATTGTCTGGTTCTGGTGCCCCACATGTTTTCCGTTGACCTTTTTTTTCCCGAGCCCTCCTGTGAAATCTAATAGCACTACTCATGATGGGGCTGCTGTGTCCCTGTGTGATCCTGGGGTCAGTCTGCTGATGTCTCTGGTGGTGGATATACTCACCCCTCTGTGCTGTTCCCAGGTCAGTTGCAGGCAGACAGACAGACAGACAGACAGACAGACAGACAAGCAGACAGACAGGCTGGCAGGTAGGTGGGTAGGAAGAGAGAGAGAGAGAGAGAGAGAGAGGGGAGAGAGAGAGAGAGAGAGAGAGAGAGAGAGAGAGAGAAGAGAGAGAGAGAGAGAGAGAGAGAGAGAGAGATAAGTTCATTTTAGTGAAATTATGCCCTTGGATGTGCATTAAGACATCAGGAATTGGGCCTCCTGTTCCTTTTCAGTTTCACTGTGTGTGCAAACACAATGCATTCATGGGCCCTAAGGGAAATGAGTGCAATACAATAAGGTAACATCTATCACAAATATTATTGAAACAACTATTGAAATTCTAATCTCAAGTCTTCACAAATGAATAACACAATCCCGACGAATGTCCACCGCCGTGCCTGAGTGGCTGCACCATGAAGCCGACGGAAACAAACGACTGGCTCCATAGAACAGCTCAACCGAAAACCTCAAGCAAATTTCCATTGTTGACTCACCCCAGGACCATAAATCCCTCGCAGCCCCCTCCCCTCCCCTATTGTGGTGAGTGGCTAGAATGGGATCACTCCATGTAGCCTCCCACACAAAGGTGCTAGTTCAACCATTACCTGTGAGAGCCTCTTCTCATCACTAAGCAGGGACTGACCTGGACACCGCTGAAATAGCCACTTCTCCTGTCTCTTTGTTCTTTATAAAAGCCCAGTCATTTGTTTAGCCACCAAATCACAAATGAATGAACATTTACAAACCAAATGGGGGCTTGTTTGCTGGTTATATCTGTCATTCAAAGCAGGCGTTAAAGGGATAGTTCACCTAAATTACAAAATGACATAATGGTTTCCTCACCCTGTAAGCAGTCTATGGACAAGGTATGACAGCAATCCATGCTTTGGTATACTTTCCCTGGCACTGTTTCCACATGCTAACGTTTCAGCATTTGTGGCAATAATCCTATTCAAGTCATGGAACCGATATTAGCATTTTTTTAGCATCATATTTAAAACATCTATAAGTTACTTTGTTGAGTTTCACAATCAATTTTAGATACTTTTGGATGATTTGGACATGATGCGCAAAGAATTACAAAATTGGTCCCATGACTTGACTGGGATTTGTGCCGCAAATGTTAAAACGGGAAACTAAACCAAAGCATGGATTGCTGTCACACCTTGTCCATAGACTGCTCACAGGCTAAGGAAACCAATGTGTCATTTTGTAATTTGGGTAAACTATCCCTTTAATGGAGTGCATCTCCACTCTAAACTAATGTAGTTGGGGGGGAAACAGAGAAATGGGCCAGAGAGTGATTTGCGAGGGAAATGAAGTGACACTGTGATCATGTGTCAATATCTACACTGTCTTTCAAAATACAAAAAGACCAAACATTGTTGAAAACATCGGGCAGCGTTTCAAAACAGTTGGGGTTTGCCTGGAACACATCTTCCTATCTACTCTAAATTAAATACCACAGATGGAATCACCATATTGTGCACACAGGATTGGATTGTAGGGGTAGTATGTAATTTACTTACGTCACTTACAACAAGCATACGTATTTAGACTTATCTACGTATAACATATACAGTACCAGTCAAAAGTTTGGACACACCTACTCATGCAAGGGCTTTTCTTTATTTTTACTATTTTCTACATTGTAGAATAATAGTGAAGACATCAAAACTATGAAATAACACATATGGAATCATGTAGTAACCAAAAAAGTATTAAACAAATCAAATATATTTTATATTTGAGATTCTTCAAAGTAGCCACCCTTTGCCTTGATGACAGCTTTGCACACTCTTGCCATTCTCTCAACCAGCTTCACCTGGAATGCTTTTCCAACAGTCTTGAAGGAGTTCCCACATATGCTGAGCCAGGTCATCTGATGCAAAACTCTATCACTCTCCTTCTTGGTCAAATAGCCCTTACACAGCCTGGAGGTGTGTTTTGGGTCATTGTCCTGTTGACAAACAAATGATAGTCCCTCTAAGAGCAAACCAGATGGGATAGTGTATCACTGCAGAATGCTGTGGTAGCCATGCTGGTTAGCCGTGTGCCTTGAATTCTAAATAAATCACAGACAGTGTCACCAGCAAAGCACCCCCACATCATCACATCTCCTCCTCCATCCTTCAAGGTGGGAACCACACATGCGGAGATCATCCATTCACCTACTCGACGTCTCATAAAGACACGGCGGTTGGAACCAAAAATCTCAAATTTGGACTCATCAGACCAAAGGACAGATTTCCACTGGTCTAATGTCCATTGTTCGTGTTTCTTGGCCCAAGCAAGTCTCTTCTTATTATTGGTGTCCTTTAGTAGTGGTTTCTTTGCAGCAATTTGACCATGAAGGCCTGATTCACGCAGTCTCCTCCTCTGAACAGTTGATGTTGCTATGTGTCTGTTACTTGAACTCTGTGAAGCATTTATTTGAGCTGCAATCTCAGGTGCAGTTAACTCTAATGAACTTATCCTCTGCAGCAGAGGTAACTCTGGGTATTCCTTTCCTGTGGCGGTCCTCATGAGAGTCAGTTTCATCATAGCGCTTGATGGTTTTTGCGTCTGCACTTGAAGAAACTTTCAAAGTAATGATGGACTGTCGTTTCTCTTTGCTTATTTGAGCTGTTCTTTCCATAATATGGACTTGGTCTTTTACCAGATAGGGCTATCTTCTGTATACCACCCCTACCTTGTCAGAACACAACTGATTGGCTCAAACGCATTAAGAAGGAAAGAAATTCCACCAATGAACTTGTAACAAGGCACACCTGTTAATTGAAATGCATTCCAGGTGACTACCTCATGAAGCTGGTTGAGAGAATGCCAAGAGTGTGCAAAGGTGTCGTCAAGGCAAAGGGTGGCTACTTTGAAGAATCTCAAATATAAAATATATTTTGATTTGTTTAACACTTTTTTGGTTGCTACATGATTCCATATGTGTTATTTCATAGTTTTGATGTCTTCACTATTATTCTATAATGTAGAAAATAGTACAAATAAAGAAAAACCCTTGAATGAGTAGGTGTGTCCAAACCTTTGACTGGTACTGTACGTATTTAGACATATCTACCTATAATATATACTTATTTAGACGTATCTATCTATACCATATTCGTATTTAGCCGCATCTATGTATAACATATATGTATTTAGACGTATCTACGTATAATATATACGTATTTAGAAGTATCTACGTATAACATATACTTATTTAGATGTCTCTACCTACAGTGAGGGAAAAAACGTATTTGATCCCCTGCTGATTTTGTACGTTTGCCCACTGACAAAGAAATGATCAGTCTATAATTTTAATGGTAGGTTTATTTAAACAGTGAGAGACAGAATAACAACAACAAAAATCCAGAAAAACGCATGTCAAAAATGTTATAAATTGATTTGCATTTTAATGAGGGAAATAAGTATTTGATCCCCTCTCAATCAGAAGGATTTCTGGCTCCCAGGTGTCTTTTACACAGGTAACGAGCTGAGATTAGGAGCACACTCTTAAAGGGAGTGCTCCTAATCTCAGCTTGTTACCTGTATAAAAGACACCTGTCCACAGAAGCAATCAATCAATCAGATTCCAAACTCTCCACCATGGCCAAGACCAAAGAGCTCTCCAAGGATGTCAGGGACAAGATTGTAGACCTACACAAGGCTGGAATGGGCTACAAGACCATCGCCAAGCAGCTTGGTGAGAAGGTGACAACAGTTGGTGCGATTATTCGCAAATGGAAGAAACACAAACAAACTGTCAATCTCCCTCGGCCTGGGGCTCCATGCAAGATCTCACCTCGTGGAGTTGCAATGATCATGAGAACGGTGAGGAATCAGCCCAGATCTACACGGGAGGTCAATGATCTCTTGTCAATGATCTCAAGGCAGCTGGGACCATAGTCACCAAGAAAACAATTGGTAACACACTACGCCGTGAAGGACTGAAATCCTGCAGCGCCCGCAAGGTCCCCCTGCTCAAGAAAGCACATATACAGGGCCGTCTGAAGTTTGCCAGTGAACATCTGAATGAGTCAGAGGAGAACTGGGTGAAAGTGTTGTGGTCAGAAGAGACCAAAATCGAGCTCTTTGGCATCAACTCAACTCGCCTGTTTGGAGGAGGAGGAATGCTGCCTATGACCCCAAGAACACCATCCCCACCGTCAAACATGGAGGTGGAAACATTATGCTTTGGGGGTGTTTTTCTGCTAAGGGGACAGGACAACTTCACTGCATCAAAGGGACGATGGACGGGGCCATGTACCGTCAAATCTTGGGTGAGAACCTCCTTCCCTCAGCTAGGGCATTGAAAATGGGTCGTGGATGGGTATTCTAGCATGACAATGACTCAAAAGACACGGCCAAGGCAACAAAGGAGTGGCTCAAGAAGAAGCACATTAAGGTCCTGGAGTGGCCTAGCCAGTCTCCAGACCTTAATCCCATAGAAAATCTGTGGAGGGAGCTGAAGGTTCGAGTTGCCAAACGTCAACCTCGAAACCTTAATGACTTGGAGAAGATCTGCAAAGAGGAGTGGAACAAAATCCCTCCTGAGATGTGTGCAAACCTGGTGGCCAACTACAAGAAACGTCTGACATCTGTGATTGCCAACAAGGGTTTTGCCACCAAGTACTAAGTCATGTTTTGCAGAGGGGTCAAATACTTATTTCCCTCATTAAAATGCAAATCAATTCATAACATTTTTGACATGCGTTTTTCTGGATTTTTTTGTTGTTATTCTGTCTCTCACTGTTCAAATAAACCTACCATTAAAATTATAGACTGATCATGTCTTTGTCAGTGGACAAACGTACAAAATCAGCAGGGGATCAAATACTTTTTTCCCTCACTGTATAACATATGTTGCTGCTCTTATGATCGAAAAGAGCTTCTGGACATCAGAACAGCGATTACTCACCTTGAACTGGACTAATAATTGTTCTTTAATGAGTCGGACGAGAGGGATTTGCTCCAGACACCCGACAGGGCCCTCATCCCCATCGTTCGCAGTAGAAAGTAAAGAAGATATTGCAGAAGGAGATCGGGGTGCCTGGTAAGGCGTCGGCGACGAGTGGCTAATCTGCCTTTGCCATCCATCGATACTATTGGCCAACGTACAATCGCTTGATAATAAAGTGGACGAACTAGAAGTACGTATATCCTACCAATTGGACATTAAAAGCTGTAATATCTTATGTTTCACTGAGTCGTGGCTGAATGACGACATGAATAACATACAGCTGGCGGGTTATACACTGTATCGGCAGGATAGAACAGCAGCCTCTGGTAAGACAAGGGGTGGCGGTCTATGTATATTTGTAAACAACAGCTGGTGCATGATATCTAAGGAAGTCTCAAGGTTTTGCTCGCCTGAGGTAGAGTAGCTCATGATAAGCTGTAGACCACACTATCTACCAAGAGAATTTTCATCTATATTCTTCGTAGCTGTCTATTTACCACCACAAACCGATGCTGGCACTAAGACCACTCTCAATGAACTGTATACGGCCATACTCCACACACAGAGACGCGTACAAAGCTCTCCCTCGCCCTCCATTTGGCAAATCTGACCATAATATCTATCCTCCTGATTCCTGCTTAAAAGCAAAAACTAAAGCAGGAAGCACCAGAGACTCGGTCAATAAAAAAGGGATCAGATGAAGCAGATGCTAAGCTACAGGACTGTTTTGCTAGCACAGACTGGAACATGTTCCGGGATTCTTCCGATGGCATTGAGGAGTACACCACATCAGTCACTGGCTTCATCAATAAGTGCATCGATGACGTCGTCCCCACAGTGACTGTACATACATACCCCAACCAGAAGCAATGGATTACAGGCAACATCCGCACTGAGCTAAAGGGTAGAGCTGCCGCTGTCAAGGAGCGGGACTCTAACCCGGAAGCTTATAAGAAATCCCGCTATGGCCTCCGACGAACCATCAAACAGCCAAAGAGTCAATACAGGACTAAGATCGAATCATACTACACCGGCTCCGACGCTCGTCGGATGTGGCAGGGCTTTCAAACTATTACAGACTACAAAGGGAAGCACAGCCGCGAGCTGCCTAGTGACACAAGCCTACCAGATTAGCTAAATTACTTCTATGCTCGCTTCGAGGCAAGTAACACTGAAACATGCATGAGAGCATCAGCTGTTCCGGACGACTGTGTGATCACGTCTCTGTAGCCGATGTGAGTAAGACCTTTAAACAGGTCAACATTCACAAGGCCGCAGGGCCAGACGGATTACCAGGACGTGTACTCCGAGCATGCGGTGAGTCTGTAATACCAACATGTTTCAAGCAGACCACCATAGTCCCTGTGACCAAGAACATGACTACCGACCCGTAACACTCATGTCTGTTGCCATGAAGTGTTTTGAAAGGCTGGTCATGGCTCACATCAACACCATTATCCCAGAAACCCTAGACCCACTCCAATTTGCATAACGCCCCAACAGATCCACAGATTATGCAATCTCTATTGCGCTCCACACTGCCCTTTCACAGCTGGACAAAAGGAACACGTATGTGAGAATGCTATTCATTGACTACAGCTCAGCGTTCAACACCATAGTGCCCTCAAAGCTCATCAATAAGCTAAGGACCCTGGGACTAAACACCTCCCTCTGCAACTGGATCCTGGACTTCCTGACGGGCCGCCCCCAGGTGGTAAGGGTAGGTAACAACACATCCGCCATGCTGATCCTCAACAGGGGGCCCCTCAAGGGTGCGTGCTCAGTCCCCTCCTGTACTCCCTATTCACTCATGACTGCATGACCAGGCATGACTCCAACACCATTATTAAGTTTGCCGATGACACAACAGTGGTAGGCCTGATCACCGACAACGACGAGACAACCTATAGGGAGGAGGTCAGAGACCTGGCAGTGTGGTGCCAGGATAACAACCTCTCCCTCAACGTGATCAAGACAAAGGAGATGATTGTGGACTACAGGAAAAAGAAGAGGACCGAGCACTCCCCCATTTTCATCGACGTGGTTGTAGTGGAGCAGGTTGAGAGCTTCAAGTTCCTTGGTGTCTACATCACCAACAAACTAACATGGTCCATGCACACCAAGACAGTCGTGAAGAGGCCACGACAAAGCCTATTCCCCCTCAGGAGACTGAAAAGATTTGGCATGGGTCCTCAGATCCTCAAAAGGCTCTACAGCTGCACCATCGAGAGCATCCTGACTGGTTGCATCACTGCCTGGTATGGCAACTGCTCGGCGTCCGACCGCAAGGCACTACAGAGGGTAGTGTGTACGGCCCAGTACATCACTGGGGCCAAGCTTCCTGCCATCCAGGACCTCTATACCAGGCGGTGTCAGAGGAAGGCCCTAAAAATTGTCAAAGACTCCAGCCACCCTAGTCATAGACTGTTCTCTCTGCTACTGCACGGCAAGCAGTACCAGAGCGCCAAGTCTAGGTCCAAGAGGCTTCTAAACAGCTTCTACCCCCAAGCCATAAGACTAATGAACATCTAATCAAATGGCTACCCAGGTCATTTGCATTGCACCCCCCCCCCCCCCCCCCCCCCCCCCCCCTTTTACGCTGCTGCTACTCTCTGTTTGTTATCCATGAACAGTCATTTTAATAACTCTACCTACATGTACCTATTACCTCAATTACCTCGACTAACTCGGTACCGGTACCCACTGTATATAGCCTCACTATTGTTATTTAACTGCTGCTCTTTAATTATTTGTTACTTTTATTTCTTATAATTTTTTTATTTAATGTTTTTTTGGTATTTTTGGGGGTAAAAATTGCAATGTTGGTTAAGGGCTTGTAAGTAAGCATTTCACTGTTGTATTCGGCGAATGTGAGAAATAAGATTTGATTCGATTTGATTTGATTTAGACGTATGTACGTATAATATATATGTATTTAGACTTATCTAGACGTATATGTGTGGCAGAACACGTAATTTAGTATACTTAATAGCTCGTTAAAGTTTACCCAGAACTCCCAATTCCCTAATATACTCACTACTCACTCAATACTATCAGCTTGCCAAATCCTACAAATGTACAAGCATAAATGAGAAAACCATCACATATTCTATGGTTGAATGCCTTAAAGAAGAAGCTGAAATACATATTGTAAGGCTTATTCCACCTGTTTTATGATAAGTCAAGCATGGGGTACAGACATGCAGCATTCAATCATATGTCTATCGTGGCTCAGTATCCTTGACGCTGTTCAATATTCTGTGCTATTCTATATGATTCTATGTAGAATAGCTATTTTACATTGTCTATGGGTGGCAGGTAGCTTAGTGGGTAAGAGCGTTGTGCCAGTAACCGAAATCCCCGAGCCGACTAGGTGAAAAATCTGTCGATGTGCCCTTAAGCAAGGCACTTAACCCTAATTGCTCCTGTAAGTCGCTCTGGATAAGAGCGTCTGCTAAATATGTAAAATGTCTACAGACCTGATATTCAAGGAATAATGCTGGCAGGAGAGCTTAGCTGCTTAATTGGAGACTGTAGTAGGGCGCAGACTGCAAGGTTCTGGCTGGTTCCTGGTTCCTGATTGGTTTATGTGAGGGCTGGGGTGCAGGAATAAATGGTAGCATTCTATTATGAGGGCACGGGTTGAACCAGCCTATGGCCCGTCACGTGACCGAACAACAATCTGCGCCGCTCGGTTATGTTGTCAACAAGGCAGCATGAGCCGTTGTTCAGAAACATACAACATCTCTTTTCCACAAAATATGTTCGAATTTTCAAAGTAGTTTTAATTGGGAAGGCAGATAAAGCGTTTTTATCAAAAGCAATCACTTTTGCATGTGATGACACAGAATCCACATCACAGGAGGTTGGTGGAACCGTAATTGGGGAGAATGGGCATGTGGTAATGACTGGAGCGGAATTAGTGGAATGGTATCAAATGGTTTCCATGTGTTTGATGCCATTCCATTCACTTCGTTCCAGCCATTATTGTGAGCCGTCCTCCCCTCAGCAGCCTCCACAGATCCACATGCTAACCTACGTCACTTTTTCACCATTGGCCGTAACGGGACAGCCAGTTCATGCCCGGGATGCAACCCGCTTCCAAAACGAATGCAATCACTTTTCATCCGGTGCAAACTACGCCTACCCGTGCGCCCGGGACAGCTTAATAGAATCCCCTCAATCCTCCTGGAGGTCAGACTGACAGTGAAGCCGCTGCAGCTCTACATCATCGGCCACCAGACTATGTGATGGAAAGGTCACGCTGGGTCACGTGCATCTCCCCTATGGACCCAGATGAGCCAGAGGTCAGGGCAGGTCACCGCACTCTTGGAGCCTTGCACAGGACAGGACAGGACAGGAAGCCATGGGTTCCCATGCTGAACCTACAGGATAACCTGGAATTATTTTACACAGGAGTTGTCCTTTTCAAAACACATAACTATAGCAGGGGAAAGGGCAGTGATACAAAATATCTTTAATGGAATAGTTTATTTGTGTGTGTGTGTGTGTGTGTGTGTGTGTGTGTGTGTGTGTGTGTCTTTAAGGACCGCTAATGTCACCACGTTACTTTGATTGACAGCTGAGATCTGTCACTCTCCAGTACACTAGCCACCTTGTGCTGCACTCCTCGCTAAACCTAACCGTCACTCGGATTGGCTGGTGTCTGTGTTGCTCAAAATAATCGACAGACTTGAAACCATTTAGAGGAAATCTATTGGTGGATTCTACATAATGCGTCATTATCCCACGTGGAAAGACAATCTCTATTGGCCCGTGCACATTTTCGGGGGCAGTTCCTTTTCTGGTTAGCTGGGGGAGTGTGAAACCGCGTGAGAAAGTTGCCATTGGGGTAAAGCGAGGCTTGACGCTACATTGTTGCGCTGATAGTGGGAGTCGTTATTTTCAAAACTAACAACATTTTCCCCTTACGAAACCTTTCTTAGACTGAAGTATTTTCTAATCTCACGTTTCATCGAGTACAGGCTATTCTTCAGATACGAATAGTAATTTATGCTGAGCATTCACCACAAGCTCCCACGGCAAGTCAAGTGGGAACTCTTCATTACAATTAACTTCTGTGGATTTGTTCTAGTAGCCTACCCTTCTTCACTGAGCGCGTTGTGGTCTTGGCTCTGTTGACTACAACTGGAGTTTCGGATATTGCTGTGTGGACAGGATCACACAGCCTACAACAGAGGACGACTACTCTTTTTTTCTCCTCTGGATGACCCGTCTCCCTTGTTTTTACGGTTGATACATGGTCGTATGCTGGAGTAAAGAAAGAGAAAGGTATTCTTCCGCGCATCAGTCGCCGGAGCACCGCTGTTGAGGAGTTGAACGGAGATCTAGGAGGACAAACGGTCGGACGTTTTCTGTCATTTTACGGCCAGTCTCGGAAGGACCTAGGATGCATTTATCGTAAACTGGAGCATCCCCACGCCGGTCCCTATTTTGATACCAGACGGTTTTTTAGGAAGAGGACATCTGCGGAGGTAGAACGATGTTCCCCCAGGGTCGACACCCGGTAAGGTTGGCCAGTGAAACGCATCCCCCATCCGCAGGTTCTCTGCACTCATTTGTCACGTCGAACCATTTGCCCATCTGTAAAGCCCTGTATGCCGGCGATGGCGGGTCGGTCGCGGATGTCGGGCGAAGCTCCTTTGTTTGTCTTTGGCTTAGCGGCTGTCAGCCTGTAACAGTTCTGTAATGAGTTTAACATGATGCACTCCCAGTAATTGGGGCTGGGCGCACATCGCACTTGGATGCTGTATTGGTGTTTTGTGTAATTCACTGCTAATTAGCCTACATCTAACGTCTTTTAAATGTTTAATGAAATGCAGAAACAAACGGTCAGGTATTGAGTGATGTGCCTTTTTTATTTTGGTAGACGCCCCACCAGGCCCCGGGCCAACCTTTCAAATTCACCATTCCAGAGTCACTGGACCGCATCAAAGAGGAGTTCCAGTTCCTCCAAGCCCAGTACCACAGGTGAGTGGCTGTTAACCACACACACTCACAAGACCCACACACACACAACCCACCCACCCCGATAAACTCAGAGGCCAAGATGTCAAACTTTTTGTGCTCAGACTGTGGTAGGTCTAAGCCATGCTGATGTGTTTAAGCCAGAGGGTAGAGTTGGGGGTCAGATTTTCATAAATCACCGCTTATTTTCCCATGTGTGCAACTGTGCATGTTGCCATATGTGGGAGTGGGGAGGGGGAGAGGAGAGTGATGAAATGCCCTGCATGATAACAGTAGCAGGCAGTAGGCTAGACTGCTGCTATTATAGCCATATGACCTAGAACATCTTAATGGCCCATGCAGCAGGTAAACAAATATTGGTCTTGCATGATTCCAAGAGGTTTTCCAGACCATGCCCCTCTGCCCTATAGGCCATATTAGATACGTTTATCTGAACTACATTTGGAATGTCTTCTGGGTACGGGTTCAGGATTGGTGGTGGTGGCTATGTGGCGTCCTGTTTTATTTTGATAGTGTGTCTGTCCTCGGCAGTTTGAAACTGGAGTGTGAGAAGCTGGCCAGTGAGAAGACAGAGATGCAGAGGCACTATGTTATGGTGAGTCCAAATAACACACTCGAGATGTTAACGCACTACCACTGTCTGGAAATATACTATTGCCACATTGCAAGCATACTGTCAACTTACACACATAAACAGGCCTACGCCCACACACACACACATTGATTTCCACTACATTATCTCAATATATACAGTACCAATCAAAGGTTTGGACACACCTACTTATTCAAGAGTTTTTCTTTATATTTACTATTTTCTACATTGTAGAATAATAGTGAAGACATCAAAACTATGAAATAACACATGGAATCATGTAGTAACCATAAAAGTGTTAAACAAATCAAAATATAATTTATATTTGAGATTCTTCAAAGTAGCCACCCTTTGCCTTGATGACAGCTTTGCACACTCTTGGCATTCTCTCAACCAGCTTCACCTGGAATGCTTTTCCAACAGTCTTGAAGGAGTTCCCACATATGCTGAGCCAGGTCATCTGATGCAGCACTCCATCACTCTCCTTATTGGTCAAATAGCCCTTACACAGCCTGGAGGTGTGTTGGGTCATTGTCCTGTTGAAAAACAAATTATAGTCCCGCTAAGCGCAAACCAGATGGGATGGCGTATCGCTGCAGAATGCTGTGGTAGCCATGCTGGTTAAGCGTGCCTTGAATTCTAAATATATCACTGACAGTGTCACCAGCAAAGCACCCCCACACAATCACATTACCTCCTCCATGCTTCATGATGTGAACCACACATGCGGAGATCATCCGTTCACCTACTCTGCGTCTCACAAAGACACGGCGGTTGGAACCAAATATCTCAAATTTGGACTCATCAGACCAAAGGACAGATTTCCACCGGTTTAATGTCCATTGCTCGTGTTTCTTGGCCCAAGCAAGTCTCTTATTTTTATTGGTGTCCTTTAGTAGTGGTTTCTTTGCAGCAATTCGACAATGTTGGCCTGATTCACGCAGTCTCCTCTGAACAGTTGATGTTGAGATGTGTATGTTACTTGAACTCTGTGAAGCATTTATTTGGGCTGCAATTTCTGAGGCTGGTAACTCTAATTAACTTATCCTCTGCAGCAGAGGTAACTCTGGGTATTCCTTTCCTATGGCGGTCCTCATGAGAGCCAGTTTCATCATAGCGCTTTGGTTTTTGCGACTGCACTTGAAGAAACTTTCAAAGTTCTTGAAATGTTCCGTATTGACTGACGTTCATGTCTTAAAGTAATGATGGACTGTCGTTTCTCTTTGCTTATTTGAGCTGTTCTTTCCATAATATGGACTTGGTCTTTTACCAAATAGGCCTATCTTCTGTATACCACCCCTACCTTGTCACAACACAACTGATTGTCTCAAACGGAAAGAAATTCCACAAATTAACTTTTAACAAAGCACACCTGTTAAATTAAATGCATTCCAGGTGACTACTTCATGAAGCTGGTTGAGAGAATGCCAAGAGTGTACAAGGCTATCATCAAGGCAAAGGGTGGCTACTTTGAAAAATCTCAAATATATTTTGATTTAACACTTTTTTTCATTACTACATGATTCCATATGTGTTATTTCATAGTTTTGATGTCTTCACTATTATTTTACAATGTAGAAAATAGTAAAAATAAAGAAACTCTGGAATGAGTAGGTGTGTCCAAACTTTTGACTGGTACTCTACATCAACATTCTGAGGTTGTTTTGTCCTTTTTACATTTTAGTCGTTTAGCAGATGCCCTTATCCAGAGTGACTTACAGTTAGGGAATTCATCTTAAGTAGCTAGGTGAGATAACCACATATCACAGTCGTAGTAAGTACATTTTTCCTCAAAGAACTTATCAGCCAAGTTAGTGCCAGTAGAAAAACACAAGTGGGGGGAGACTGACTGAGATGCCTTACGATACTCTTTGAAGAGGTCCTCTGTAGCTCAGCTGGTAGAGCACGGCGCTTGTAACGCCAAGGTAGTGGGTTCGATCCCCGGGACCACCCGTACACAAAAAAATGTATGCACGCATGACTGTAAGTCGCTTTGGATAAAAGCGTCTGCTAAATGGCATATTATTATTATTATTAAGAGGTAAAGCTGTTAACTAGCCCTCTCCAATAAGCAGACTACTTTGAGATGTAGGAAAGGGAAATATACTGTTATCCTAATGATTACAACTCTGTCATCCACAGTACTATGAAATGTCTTACGGGCTGAACATTGAAATGCACAAACAGGTAAGCCTTGCTCACACTCGCTCTTACTCTTTCCTATAGTGTGTGTGTTCACGCAGGGAATGGGCTTTTAGCCTGCCAGGGAAGTTGTGTTAGAGTGAGGGTTCATTAGTGATGGATGGTGCTCTGTTTCTCTCTCTAGTTAGACCTGGTGGTACGAGCCCAGAGGCAGGATGAATTACTCTGTTGATTGATTGGTACTGTCTGGGGGAGTAGCCTGTTTTATTGCATTGAAGAGGCTGGGCTGGGGAGGGCATAGGAATCAATCACAGAGCCCTTTATCGAGAAAATGCAGAGGAGCACTCTTCCTCGATACACACACACACACACACACACACACACACACACACACACCAGCTTGCCCCACAGGAACAGAGCACTCTGGCTCACAGCATTTACCAGTAATTACCACAGAAATCGATTGGTCAGGACAGAGGAAATTGGAGGTGGAATAGCCTGGGTGGTTTGCTGAGGAAGGATTATGTGTGTTCTAGCTCTCTCTTTCCCTCTGTCTTTCCATCTCTCTTTCCCTCTGTCTCTCTCCCCTCTCGTTCTGATAGTAATGCATGCCTCCTATTGTGGGGGAGATGCCATTTCTGCTCATTGTCTCTGTAGAGGGTCGTATTGTGAGTGCTGTATCCCTGCCCCGCCACACCGTAGCCAGTTGCTCTGGCTACTCCAGCCCCAGGCCTAATAGGGCCTCCCCTTGGAGCCTCCCTTCTGTCTGCTCCGCTGCCTGATTGAATGGAGTTGGAGGAGAGTGGAGTGGAGTGCCGACCCATTCTCCTGCTGCTCTTATTAGGGTATTGGGGCTGAATTCCAAACCTAACCTTAACCTCTACACCTACGCACGTAGACCTTAACGGATTGATTCAGGTTTCATGAAGCAGTATGGTATTAGGCCTAGCTCCATCTTGCCCTCTGATAGGCTAGGGGGAAGTTTAGCCTATCCAGTCCTCAGGTGTATTACAGATCCAGAAGTGCCTGGGGGTTCAGGGTTCAGGGTGGATCTGGCATTCAACATGTCCTAGTCCCTGTAGGGCTCTCTCTCTCTCTCTCTCTCTCTCTGCCACCTGGCAGAACCCTGTTGCTCAGGTCACGCCCTCAGACCTGCAGGCCCTCGTCACTGTTATCCTAGCTGATGACTCGACAACTCGCCGTGATTTCAATGTGCGGTTCGTCGTGTCACCTACTACCGTAGTTGAACACACTAGTTAGTGTTATTGTTCAGAATCAGAGCAGAAGTCTGCTACATGACCAAAGGCCGTCCTTTCATTGTAAGCCCCTGGCATGTGTGATAACCACCATGATGTCTGTCTTCTGGGGTGTGGTTGGGTAAGAGACAGGCGAGGTGAGTGACTTTTATTGGTCCATTGATTTCCTGGCTCCTCTGACCCACTTGGGCCCCAGGCTCTGAGTCACGCAATGATTCCCTTAACCGTTCCTTAATGAATCCCTGTTAACGCTCTCCTGTGGGTTTAGCCCAATGTGTCTTGGAACTCAGCCTATTCCCGGCCTGCAGCACCTATCTGCCGGCTAAGAATACCCCTCAGAGATGCTGCTTCCCTTCTGGAAAAGCACAGTGGGAGAAGCAGGTATTTTCTTGGCTCACAGGCGTATTCTGGGCGAGCTGCTGTGGTTCTAGGAGCTAGACAGCAGGCAGCAGCAGGTGTGCTAACGGTAAGGCGGTGAGGACGGGGCCAATGGCTGGGCTGCTAGAAGATTGGCTGGAGGAACTCTTCTGATAATGTAGCCTGCATCTGATATCATGGAGATCTGTATGTATCAAGCGTCTGATCTAGGTCAGCACTCCTGCTCTGAGAAGCTTGATACATACGGCCCCTGGGCCCTGACTCCATTTCTCACTCGCTTTTCAAAAGAAAATGGGGGGGGTGTGATGTCCTATTAGTGCGTTCGGAGGCTCCTCTAATTCCCCCTGCACCCTGACCCGCCTCAGATCAATTTGATTGGGCGATATGTAATTTGAGCTGCATCATCTGATTTGCAGCCTCCGTGGGGGTATAGGGTATCCAGCCAATCGCAGTCACCTCCGGGGGCCGGATGCCCAGCCATGGATATGAGTGGGACCAAATGAAATTAGGAGTGATGAGATTATCTTAAAGCGCCGATGGGAATAGGAGCGAGGCAGAGGGGGAAACTTAATCTAAGGCTAACATGATAGCAAGGCAGGAGCCTCGGTATGATTCATTGCAGTGTGTGTGTGTGTGTGTATGGTGGTCATGTGTTTTCTGAGAACTGTGGCAGGCAGCAAGCTGTTAACTAGCCCTCTCTCCAGTGAATTGTTTATGGAGTCACTCATACCCATATTGACTTTTTAACATTTTATTTAGCCTTTATTTAACTTGGTTGGTCTCAATGAGATAAAAACATATATTTTTCAAGAGAGACCTGGACCAAGATAGCAGTGTGCATTGATCCTATATCTTGACAGATAGCGGCAGTTGGTCCTGAAAGTCTGGCTATCCTTCAGCAACTCTCCAGCATTACATACACACTAGGGTTGGGCAATATTTGAGCAGACCTCTTCTACGATATGCTTCTCCAAATATACGATATTCGATATAATCGTTTTGCAATGTTAATGACTAAATAATTCAAATGTTTGTTTTTATTTACGATATTATAGTCGCATTCTCATTACTATGATCGCTCCACTATTTCCTGGTTGCTAAAACGTCAGTTTATGTGACAAAATAAGCAAGTATAGTGTAGAGAATCATTGTACCATCTAAACCGCTGTGAAATATATTTTCCATAACCAAAAATATTGTATTTTCAGCTGTTTGAAGCTGGTGTACAAAACCAAAAGTAAAAGATGCAAAGATTAAACTTAAGAACGGGAAGCATAGAACTAGCGCACATAGAACAGATTTACCGCTTCTTAGACTTGCTTTCAATGAGAATGACAGACCTATAACTCACATTTCTATTTGAATATGGTAGGATTGCCCAAAAAGTTACATATTGCAGCTTTAAATAATCTTAGTATGACAAAAAAAGAAGGCTTAGTTAATTCATTTAGACTTTATTTTCAACATATTAATACAGCCTATCTGATAAAACTGCACAGTTTGAATTTGTAAAGTTCAAATAGAGTATAGTCTTAACCATCACGCTATATTGTCAATGTCAAATATCACGATATTTAATCATATATACAGTGGGGAGAACAAGTATTTGATACACTGCCGATTTTGCAGGTTTTCCTACTTACAAAGCATGTAGAGGTCTGTAATTTTTATCATAGGTACACTTCAACTGTGAGAGACGGAATCTAAAAAACAAAAATCCAGAAAATCACATTGTATGATTTTTAAGTAATTAATTTGCATTTTATTGCATGACATAAGTATTTGATACATCAGAAAAGCATAACTTAATATTTGGTACAGAAGCCTTTGTTTGCAATTACAGAGATCATACGTTTCCTGTAGGTCTTGACCAGGTTTGCACACATTGCAGCAGGGATTTTGGCCCACACCTCCATACAGACCTTCTCCAGATCCTTCAGGTTTCGGGGCTGTCGCTGGGCAATACGGACTTTCAGCTCCCTCCAAAGATTTTCTATTGGGTTCAGGTCTGGAGACTGGCTAGGAATGCTTCTTACGGAGCCACTCCTTAGTTGCCCTGGCTGTGTGTTTCGGGTCGTTGTCATGCTGGAAGACCCAGCCACGACCCATCTTCAATGCTCTTACTGAGGGAAGGAGGTTGTTGGCCAAGATCTCGCGATACATGGCCCCATCCATCCTCCCCTCAATACGGTGCAGTCGTCCTGTCCCCTTTGCAGAAAAGCATCCCCAAAGAATGATGTTTTCACCTCCATGCTTCACGGTTGGGATGGTGTTCTTGGGGTTGTACTCATCCTTCTTCTTCCTCCAAACACGGCGAGTGGAGTTTAGACCAAAAAGCTCTATTTTTGTCTCATCAGACCACATGACCTTCTCCCATTCCTCCTCTGGATCATCCAGATGGTCATTGGCAAACTTCAGACGGGCCTGGACATGCGCTGGCTTGAGCAGGGGGACCTTGCGTGCGCTGCAGGATTTTAATCCATGATGGCGTAGTGTGTTACTAATGGTTTTCTTTGAGACTGTGGTCCCAGCTCTCTTCAGGTCATTGACCAGGTCCTGCCGTGTAGTTCTGGGCTGATCCCTCACCTTCCTCATGATCATTGATGCCCCACGAGGTGAGATCTTGCATGGAGCCCCAGACCGAGGGTGATTGACCGTCATTTTGAACTTCTTCCATTTTCTAATAATTGCGCCAACAGTTGTTGCCTTCTCACCAAGCTGGTTGCCTATTGTCCTGTAGCCCATCCCAGCCTTGTGCAGGTCTACAATTTTATCCCTGATGTCCTTACACAGCTCTCTGGTCTTGGCCATTGTGGAGAGGTTGGAGTCTGTTTGATTGAGTGTGTGGACAGGTGTCTTTTATACAGGTAACGAGTTCAAACAGGTGCAGTTAATACAGGTAATGAGTGGAGAACAGGAGGGCTTCTTAAAGAAAAACTAACAGGTCTGTGAGAGACGGAATTCTTACTGGTTGGTAGGTGATCAAATACTTATGTCATGCAATAAAATGCAAATTAATTACTTAAAAATCATACAATGTGATTTTCTGGATTTTTTAGATTCCGTCTCTCACGGTTGAAGTGTACCTATGATAAAAATTACAGACCTCTACATGCTTTGTAAGTAGGAAAACCTGCAAAATCGGCAGTGTATCAAATACTTGTTCTCCCCACTGTATATAGGATATCGTGTGCAGTTGACCTGGGGTGTATTCATTAGGAACCAAACGGGGAGGGACATACCTGAACTAGTCCAGTAAGAAACTCTCGATTTCAAAATGTTTTGCTACGGTGTGCACTAATGAATAAACCCCAGCTGGAGTTGACCTGCACATGGCTGTGTGAATACAATCGGGAATGTTTTTAGATCCGACGGCCCCTAGGCACTGCTGGATGTATCTTCTAAGCTGTGATGGTCACTGCACTACCCATACTGATCCGTCCATCCTCTCTCTACTCTTCAACAGACAGAGATTGCCAAGAGGCTCAACACCATCTGTGCACAAGTCATCCCCTTCCTCTCACAGGAGGTAAGTGTGTGTGCTTGTATGTAGTCAATTCATTTCGTGTAGTAGGCCCAGGATATTACGTGTGTAACGCTGTGCGTAACGCTGTGTGTAACGCTGTGCGTAACGCTGTGTGTAACTGTGCCCATGCAGCACCAGCAGCAGGTGGTCCAGGCGGTAGAGAGAGCCAAGCAGGTCACCATGGCTGAACTCAACGCCATCATTGGGGTACGGGGACTTCCCGGTCTACCACCCACTGTAAATACACTCTACTGCAACTTCCTTTGTCTGTGTGTGTGTGTACTGTGTGTGTGTGTATGTGTGACATGCTATTAGTGAAATGTCGACATGTCTGTGACAGTTCTTTATCAGGATATGCTGCTGCTGTGTTTGGTAACCATAACAACATGTGTAGCTGCTGCTGTGTTTGGTAACCATAACATCATGTGTAGCTGCTGCTGTGTTTGGTAACCATAACAACAGGTGTAGCTGCTGCTGTGTTTGGTAGCCATAACAACATGCGTAGCTGCTGCTGTGTTTGGTAACCATAACAACATGCGTAGCTGCTGCTGTGTTTGGTAACCATAACAACATGTGTAGCTGCTGCTGTGTTTGGTAACCATAACATCATGTGTAGCTGCTGCTGTGTTTGGTAACCATAACAACAGGTGTAGCTGCTGCTGTGTTTGGTAGCCATAACAACATGCGTAGCTGCTGCTGTGTTTGGTAACCATAACAACATGCGTAGCTGCTGCTGTGTTTGGTAACCATAACAACATGCGTAGCTGCTGCTGTGTTTGGTAACCATAACAACATGCGTAGCTGCTGCTGTGTTTGGTAACCATAACAACATGCGTAGCTGCTGCTGTGTTTGGTAACCATAACAACATGCGTAGCTGCTGCTGTGTTTGGTAACCATAACAACATGCGTAGCTGCTGCTGTGTTTGGTAACCATAACAACATGCGTAGCTGGACCAATGCTGTGTTTTGGTAACCATAACAACATGCGTAGCTGCTGCTGTGTTTGGTAACCATAACAACATGTGTAGCTGCTGCTGTGTTTGGTAACCATAACAACATGTGTAGCTGCTGCTGTGTTTGGTAACCATAACAACATGTGTAGCTGCTGCTGTGTGTTGGCTGTTTGGATTTTCTCAACGGTTCTGTGAGGCTTTGGAAGAGGGGGGAGGTGGTGGGTGAGGTGGGTTTGATGGCTGTGGCGGTTGCCATTTGAGTCTTAATTGCAGGATTCCAGAGTGTATAAAGTGGGTTTGAGAGTCTGGTCCCCCCCACCAAGCTGTCAGTCAACGTGTTTGTGTGTGTTAAATGAGTGTAATGAAGCATGGACACCCTCCCTGCTCCCTCTCCGGCTCACCCTAACACCCCCTGACACACAGGCTCCCCCCGCCTCCACCAATACTTCCCCTCCATTTACTCTCACCAGTGGGGGGAGGTGTGTGTGTGTGTGTGTGTGTGTGTGTGTGTGTGTGTGTGCGCGAGCGAGCGCCCTTTGCCATGCTGTTTTGGCACATCGAACAAGGGCTCGGTGGTATGTGTGTGTGTTTGGCGGGCAAGCCTAGGGATTAACACTGTGAAAGAGTAGGTATGGGGTTAGAGTGCTGTGGCGTCTCTCTCCTGTGGTTCTGAGGGGTGGGGGGGTGGGGTGGGGTGGCTTAGTCAATTAGAGATAAAGAGGAGGGTTGACCTTCACCACCGCCCCTCCCCCACTCTCCTGCTGAGACCCTCCCTCCCCCTCTCCCCCGCGGCAAATCTCAGAGGTTTGATTCCTGCGGCTACTGTCTGAAGACGCAATAATGATGTTTTGGAACACAAAGGCATTTCACGCTCAGACGAGCGCCTGATTTGGTGTGAAAGAGACCGAGACCTGACAGCTAAACGCCCCCAATCCACCAGAGCCCCCCCCCCCCCCCCCTCCCGCCCTCCCTGCCTGGCTCGCAGGCAGCAGCTGGGGCTCTCCAACCCCCTCCTCCCTCCCTCTTCAGGCTCTGGGCTGTGATCCCAGCTGTCAGTATTGTTCAGTATTTGTGTGTGTGTGTTTAGAAATATAGAGTGTGTGTTGAAGGGAGAGGTTTATGGCTCTGCCATTATTTGTGAGAAGGCCACATCGTAGAAAGCTGCTCTGGGTGAAACACTGAAGGATCATGAATTCCTCTAGATTTTCACATTGATCACTCTGCTCCATCAGTCTGTTAATGGCTGGTTGTATTGATTGACACCCTTTTCAAGTGGATTGGGGAATATTGATTGATTTTGGATTAGTAATTGATTGCACCTCTCTCCTGTAGCAGCAGCACCTGTCCCACGCGCACGGCTCCCATGTCCCCCTCACCCCCCACCCCGCGGGGCTCCACCAGGCCCATTTGGGAGGAGGGGCCAGTCTGCTCGCCCTGTCCAGTGCCCTGGGGGCGCCGCCGCCCCACCTGGCCAGCAAAGAGGACAAGAAACACCCAGTAGAGGTCGAGCACCTGAGAGGTGAGACCCACCCGGCCTTGTTGCTGGGCCTGCATCTGAGGAGGAGTCTGTCTGGCCCGCCCACATAGTAGAGTAGAACGGACTGGACTGTGTCATCATTGGGTTTGTTAATAATAAATATACTGAAAACAACAAGTGCACGGCTCAGGATTCTAATTATTTTATTTTTCTCTCCATTTCTTTTCGTGTGTTTTCCGTGCCGCCCTGGTGTCCTCGACACCTTGATGCTGTGTGTCATCGTTGCTATGGGAACAGAGCGAGAGCCAGGCACAGTAAGTACTTCCTGTTACCTCTGGCTGCAGCCTCGACGAGCGCGAGCTAAATACCTGAAATGAAGCATCATACCCCTCCTAGATGAGATGATACGAGAGAGTCAACTAGTCCCTGGTTGCTAGGGGACCTGATGCTACTTTGCACCACAAAGCACAATCCATCTAGTTTCCCCCTTAGCACTTTTGATCTTAACCCCTGCTAATCATTCCCTAAGCCCACTCACTATCTTTCTCACACACAGACACAGCTCTGTGCCACCCACCGTCCTTGCTTTGATTCACCTCCCTCATTCTCACATCAAACTGGCCTTCATTTACACATTTAGACATGCATCCATGGCTTTTAAGTGTGTGTGTGTGTGTGTGTGTGTGTTTTCCTCTGAGGTTAACATTATGGCAGGGTGCTGGGGTGTTGGTCTGCCTGCCGTTACTGGATTGGCCTGGATCTGCCCTGGTCTGTTTGGCTCGCTCTCCAAATGAGGGCTTTAGCAGAGCTGGCACACACACACACGCACGTACACAGACGTGTACACGCACACACACACACAATAACAGGAGCTCTCGCCATTGTTGTGTGTATTAAACACCTCAGTGAGCAGATTGCCCCTCCCCCCACTCTGCTGATCCTGCGCTTAAAGGGCCTCATTGTGTTTAATACGGCTGCTGGTGGGGGGGGGGGGGGGAGCTAGAGCGTCATGACCTGAGAGACAGTGGGGAAATTGCTTGTGTTTTGTGGGTCAGCGCTTTCTAAAGCCTTTAAATAATGTTCCCCTGAGAGGCAGGGCGTGAAGGAGCCTTTGGCTGGGGGGGAGGAGGCCCCTGGCCCTGCCTGTCTATTGGTCCTCTGTGTGTGTTTTCTGCGGCTCCTGGATGCACATTTCATTGACAGCGTCAGGCCTAAATGGACTCCAACATGATGGGCTAATCCACACACAATGGGATCTGTTAGTCAGGGGAGCCAGGGGAGGGGAGGGGGTTGTGGAAGTGAATCACACACACTGCCCTTTAGCTACAGTGGTAAAAGCTGGACAGGGCCAGGAGAGGGAGCACTGATAAAGCGGCAGAACTGCTCTAATCAGCGTCTTCTCTGCCGTGTGTCAGCCCACCACCACCACTGTGACTGAAGACTGACAGACAGCCCCACCTGCCCCTGGCCTGGAGGGTGAAGGTGCTGTAGTCTAGGGTTCTGAGACACACTCCTGTAGGTTTTCACTCCAACTCCAGTTTTAACTAACCTGATTCAGCTTATCAACCAGCAAATTATTAGAATCAGGTGCGCTAGATTAGGGTTGGAGTGAAAACCTACAGGAGGGTCTCTCTCCAGGAACAGGGTTGGAGTGAAAACCTACAGGAGGGTCTCTCTCCAGGAACAGGGTTGGAGTGAAAACCTACAGGAGGGTCTCTCTCCAGGAACAGGGTTGGAGAGCCCTGATGTAGATGCTGATTTCCCCACTAGTGGTTAAGGTTAGGATTGGGAGAAGGGAAGCTGATCCTGGATCTGTACCTAGGGGAAACGTCACCCAGGAGTGGCCTGTAGAATGTCATGTCTTCTGCTATTTCCTCACCCCCCCCCCCCCCTTCCTGTCTTTGGCAGAGTAATACCCTGCTGGTTGCTGACAGTTTGCGGAACTCAGACAAGCGGCGCAACGGACCAGAATTCTCCAACGACACCAAGAAGAGGAAAGTGGAGGACAAGGACTCCAGTCATTATGTAAGCAGCAGCTGTGAGGGTGATGTGTGTGTGTGTGTGTGTGTGTGTGTGTGTGTGTGGTGACTGACACCCTGTTTGTCCCCACAGGATAGTGATGGGGAGAAGAGTGATGACAACCTGGTGGTGGATGTCTCCAATGAGGTAACGTGTGTCTTTCTGACGTGTACATGCCTGTCTATGAATGTTCTGTTAGGCCTCGCTAGATAGCTCAAAGATAGATAGACTCTATGGATGTCATATGGGTCCTAGTCAAAAGTAGTGCACTAAATAGGAAATGGGGTGCTCTTTAGGATGCAGACTATTATTCCACATGGGGGAAAGTGGGGCGCTGAGTGAGTCAGTGTGTGAATTAACCTATCCCCCCCCCCCCAGGACCCTGCCTCCCCGCATGGAACGCGCCTGCCATCCCCCAGGGAGAATGGGCTGGACAAGACACGCCTCCTGAAGAAGGACCCCTCCTGTAGCCCCGCCTCCACAGCCTCATCTGCAAGCTCTTCCTCCCTCAAGTCCAAAGAGATGGGAATGGTGGGTGTGGCCAAAGCTCTCAATACACCTAACCCAATTATGTCTAAACAAGGCTTTAATGCTGGATCACAGAAACACACACAATTGACCTTCCCATTTCCCTCTAAAGAGCGGCAAATATATAATCTCTTACCCTCTTTCTCTCATTCCATCTCTTAATTTGTCTCTCTCTTTAATGGTGTGATATCTGGGTAACGAATGCCTCTGTGTGTTTCCATGGCAGCGTGATAAGCCGGGTACGCCTGGGCTGAAGTCGAGCACGCCTACTCCCAGAGGAGACGCCACCCCAGGACCCAGCGCCACGCCCACTCTCCGACCAAGCCTATCCAAGCCCCCCTCCATGGACCTACCTCACCCACCTAGTAAGAGGAAAAAAAGTCACACCTTTGAATTGACCTCGGTGCCATTTCCAACCCTTCCTAACAGCCTATAAGGCGGCAGGTAGCCTAGCATTAAGAGCGTTTGGCCAGTAACTGAAAGGTCGCTGGTTCTAATCCCAGAGCCGGCATGGTGAAAAATCTGTCTGTGCATCTAAAGCAAAGCACTTAAACCTAATTGCTCCTGTAAGTCGCTCTGGAGAAGAGTGTCTGCTAAATGAATAAAATGTTGAATGTATAGGACAGGCAACCTACTAGTATACATTGGTTTTTGTTAGGGATTCTACACTCCTTTGGTATTTTTTTTCATTGGTCCTTTGTTAATACAATGCATTTCAGCAGTCAAGTTTTCAAGATGGAGTGCTTTCAGTACAGAGCAAAAACTTGATGATGCCTTGATGCGTTTTGGCGTGACTGAATCCAGTTCCAGTTGTTTTAACCCATCTGACAACAGCTCCTGTGTACCCCTTAGCTGCTGGTCTGCGGACCCCGCTGGCAGTGCCAGGGTCGTACCCTGGGCCTTTCGGAATGCTTCCCCACGCCGCCATGAACGGGGAGCTGGCAGGCGCCGCATACGCCGGCCTCCACAACATGTCCCCCCAGATGAGTGCTGCGGCTGCCGTCGCTGTGGCCGCGTACGGACGCTCCCCTATGGTGGGTGGCCGAGTGGCCGAGTGTTCGCTTATTCAGTCAATCTGAGTCCATAATCTGTGCTCATTGTGTGTCTAAACGGCTAAGTGTCTGTGTTCACGTAGGACCCAATGCGGTTTCAACTGACCTCATTTCTCTGGTGTGTGTGTGTGTGTGTGTGTGTGCCCATGGCTCTTTATGAGTGTGTACTCATCCCTCTCTCTGTGTTCTCCCTCAGGTGGGCTTTGACCCTCATCCTCACATGAGAGTCCCTGGAATGCCCCCCAGTTTATCAGCCATCCCTGGAGGCAAACCGTGAGTGTGCGGGGACAGTGAATACTTTTGGAGCTCACTGTATCTCAAATGTATTCCATGCCTTAATTCCACCTTCCCTCCTCTTCCTCCTTCACCTCATCCTCCTCTCAGGGCCTACTCTTTCCACGTTAGCGCCGATGGACAGATGCAACCGGTGCCCTTCCCTCCGGACGCCCTGGTGGGCCCGGGCATCCCACGCCATGCTCGCCAGATCAACACTCTGAACCACGGCGAGGTGGTGTGTGCCGTCACCATCAGTAATCCCACGCGCCACGTCTACACGGGTGGCAAGGGCTGCGTCAAGGTCTGGGACATCAGTCACCCTGGCAACAAGAGTCCCGTGTCCCAACTGGACTGCCTGGTGAGTGCTACACGCACACACACAAATATACATGCTTTTATCCAAAATCACACAGTTGGTGCATCGTGCACCAACCAACCCCACCGGGGGGGGGGGGGTGTCTGAGAGAGAAATCTGTCACATGCTCTAAATATATACCTACCCACCACTGTTACATCGTTTGTGTATTAGAGGCCCAAAATAAGTGTGTGTGTGTGTGGTGTGTCAGAACCGAGACAACTACATCCGCTCGTGCCGGCTGCTCCCCGACGGCCGGACGCTCATTGTGGGGGGCGAGGCCAGCACGCTGTCAATCTGGGACCTGGCGACGCCCACCCCGCGCATCAAGGCGGAGCTGACCTCCTCTGCCCCTGCCTGCTACGCCCTGGCCATCTCCCCCGACTCCAAGGTCTGCTTCTCCTGCTGCAGTGACGGGAACATCGCCGTCTGGGACCTGCACAACCAGACCCTGGTTAGGTAAGGAACACTGGGAGGAGAATACATGGCCAGTAGGGAATAGGTAGAAATTAATAGCCTTTAGTAACCACAGGTCCAGGGTCAGCTATTGTAATATCCCGCTAATGGTTAAGATTGAGTGTAGGGTTCTCTGATCCTAGATCTGTGGTTAAGGGCAACTTCTTTCCTTGAGTGAATACACATGAATGTTTGTACAGGTAACTGCCAAAATAAAGGAATCACGAACATAAAGCATCTTAATAGGGCGTTGGGTAGAGGTTGACACGGGAGTGAAAATTCATTCCTGTCCCGTCTTGTCCTGTAAAGAAAATTCCCATACTGTCCTGATCCCGCAGCAGTTATATAACCACGGAACTTCCCTCTCCCGTCCCATGCTCATTTTTACATGCAGAAATGACTTTCTCCGTTAGCTGCTCTGTGTGTGAGTAGACATGGCTGCTGCTCATGACGGTAGCCTGCCCTGCACACACAGCTGATAACAACCACAGTCAGTCAGTTGTGTAATTGCTCGGCAAAGACAACTCTATCAAATTTAGCTAAAACATTGCTGTTTCCTTTTCAACGGCTCTAATGTTAGTGATGGGTCCTTGGCTGCAACAAGACGTTGCAATTCCTCTCTCGAATGTTTCGTCATTCTCTGATGTACGTTGACCTCTGAGGTAAAGTAGTGACTGGCTACAACTGAAGTGGGGTGGGGAGGGTTGAGGGGGGAATGCTTTTTATTTTTATGAAGTCCACTATATATTAGGCCTACACAGCTTAATTGATGAAATGCTCCACACATGACATATTTCTAACCCCCCCCCACACTCCCATTCCTGCCGGAGTGCTGATCCCATGTCAACCTCTAGCATTGGGCCACCAGAGCAGCTTCAATGCACCTTGGCATAGATTCTACAAGTGTCTGGAACTCTATTGGAGGGATGCGACATCATTCTTCCACAGTAAATTCCATCATTGGTGTTTTGTTGATGGTGGTGGAAAACGCTGTCTCAGGCACCGCTCCAGAATCTCCCATAAGTGTTCAATTGGGTTGAGATCTGATAACTGAGACAGACACTCACACACTATGCTCCTTTGAGACCCCTCTTTCAAAGTCACTGAGATCTCTTCTAGCCATGGTAGACAAAATATTGGGCAACTGGACTTTTCTATACATTACTCTAGGGTTTCCTTTTCTATACATTACTCTAGGGTTTCCTTTTCTATACATTACTCTAGGGTTTCCTTTTCTATACATTACTCTAGGGTTTCCTTTTCTATACATTACTCTGGGGTTTCCTTTTCTATACATTACTCTAGGGTTTCCTTTTCTATACATTACTCTGGGGTTTCCTTTATTTTGGCAGTTACCTGTATATGTTCACGTTTTATCTCTGAGTGTACAGTATATTTACATGTGTGCTTGAGAGGGTCGTATACCATTTGTGTGTGTATTTGAGCGTGTTATGAATTTATATAATATACCATTTAGCAAATACTTTTATCTAAAGCGACTTAATCATGCATGCATACATTTTGATATGGGTGGCCCCAGCGGGAATTGAACCCACAAACCTTGGCGTTGCAAGCGCCTTGCTCTACCAACTGGGCCACACAGGACCACATACAGTATTTGATAACATATCTGTTTTTAATGTGTGTGTTGTCCACCGCAGGCAGTTCCAGGGCCACACCGACGGAGCCAGCTGTATTGACATCTCCAACGATGGGACCAAGCTGTGGACGGGGGGGCTGGACAACACTGTTCGATCCTGGGACCTGAGGGAGGGACGCCAGCTGCAGCAGCACGACTTCACCTCACAGGTACACACACACACACACACACACACACACACACACCTGAGCGACACAACAGCTCCAGCAGCACGACTTGAAACCACAGGTTGACACACACACACACACACACACACACACACACACACACACAGGCATCTCACATCACTGGTGACGAAAGATCTCATGCACTTTGGTCGCAGCTCATTTTCACCTTGCAACGGTGTGTTGTTTAGGACGTCCTTGTGTAACAGGAGTATCCATAGTAATGCAGGACTTATCACATATCACAGGTTACAATAGCCAGCACAATAGAGTGTATTAACAGGTTTGGCCCGGAGCAGGAGGCTATTAGCTTAATACCTAAGAAGTGAATTGTAAAGGGGAAAAGACTGGGTTGCTTGTTGTGGCAGGTGGGGCAGTCCTCTGTTAGTTTACATGTTATTTACATGACATTGTGGTCCTCTGTAGCTCAATTGGTAGAGCATGGCGGTTGTAACGCTAGGGTAGTGGGTTCGATCCCCGGGACCACCCATACATAAAAATGTATGCACACATGACTGTAAGTCGCTTTGGATAAAAGCGTCTGCGAAATGGCATATTATTATTATTACATTAGCCACAGCTGTGTGCTAGCAGAGATGCTATTGAAACAAGGCCTGGAGGTTAGCGGTTAGTGCAAGACATCAGCTGGTCTCTCACCAAGCATTTACCCACCTGTTACGTTAAAAAAATGCATTGAAAATATAGCGAGCGATACTTTTCTTTCAATAGCGCAAACGGCAATCAGTGTTGACCCACCTAGTTAATTTTTTTAAACACTTCATCACTGACACACACACACACACACACACACACACTCTCACACGCTCACTCTCTCTCTCTCACACACTCTCTCTCCCACACACTGAGGAGGTTTTCCCCTCTGCCCTTGACTTTGTCTAGATCTTCTCTCTGGGGTACTGTCCGACGGGAGAGTGGCTGGCAGTGGGGATGGAGAGCAGTAACGTAGAGGTGCTCCATGTCACCAAGCCAGACAAGTACCAGCTGCACCTCCACGAGAGCTGTGTGCTCTCCCTCCAGTTTGCCTCCTGTGGTAAGACCATGTCTCCAGATCTCTGTGTACGACTGCGTCTCAAATGGCACCCTATTCCGTTTGTAGTGCACTACTTTTGAACATGGCCCATAGGGCTCTGGTCAGAAAGTAGTGCACTATAAAAGAATAGGGTGCCATTTTGGAACGCAAAGTATGACCTATTCTTGTTAGCTGTGTACAGTAACTTTAATGTCTGATATGTCTGATATGGTATTTTGTCTCCCTGTATCCTGGGGTTAAATTGGCACCTCCTAACTGATGGAACTGCCCCCCCAAATGTTTTGCTTCTCCGTGGTTCATTTTCCATTTTGAACTGAGATGTACAGTGAGGGGAAAAAAGTATTTGATCCCCTGCTGATTTTGTACGTTTGCCCACTGACAAAGAAATGATCAGTCTAATTTTAATGGTAGGTTTATTTGAACAGTGAGAGACAGAATAACAACAAAAAAATCCAGAAAAACGCATGTCAAAAATGTTATAAATTGATTTGCATTTAAATGAGGGAAATAAGTATTTGACCCCCTCTCAATCAGAACGATTTCTGGCTCCCAGGTGTCTTTTATACAGGTAACGAGCTGAGATTAGGAGCACACTCTTAAAGGGAGTGCTCCTAATCTCAGTTTATTACCTGTATAAAAGACACCTGTCCACAGAAGCAATCAATCAATCAGATTCCAAACTCTCCACCATGGCCAAGACCAAAGAGCTCTCCAAGGATGTCAGGGACAAGATTGTAGACCTACACAAGGCTGGAATGGGCTACAAGACCATCGCCAAGCAGCTTGGTGAGAAGGTGACAACAGTTGGTGCGATTATTCGCAAATGGAAGAAACACAAAAGAACTGTCAATCTCCCTCGGCCTGGGGCTCCATGCAAGATCTCACCTCGTGAAGTTGCAATGATCATGAGGACGGTGAGGAATCAGCCCAGAACTACACGGGAGGATCTTGTCAATGATCTCAAGGCAGCTGGGACCATAGTCACCAAGAAAACAATTGGTAACACACTACGCCGTGAAGGACTGAAATCCTGCAGCGCCCGCAAGGTCCCCCTGCTCAAGAAAGCACATATACATCCCCGTCTGAAGTTTGCCAATGAACATCTGAATGATTCAGAGGAGAACTGGGTGAAAGTGTTGTGGTCAGATGAGACCAAAATGGAGCTCTTTGGCATCAACTCAACTCGCCGTGTTTGGTGGAGGAGGAGGAATGCTGCCTATGACCCCAAGAACACCATCCCCACCGTCAAACATGGAGGTGGAAATATTATGCTTTGGGGGTGTTTTTCTGCTAAGGGGACAGGATAACTTCACCGCATCAAAGGGACGATGGACGGGGCCATGTACCGTCAAATCCTGGGTGAGAACCTCCTTCCCTCAGCCAGGGCATTGAAAATGGGTCGTGGATGGGTATTCCAGCATGACAATTACCCAAAACACACGGCCAAGGCAACAAAGGAGTGGCTCAAGAAGAAGCACATTAAGGTCCTGGAGTGGCCTAGCCAGTCTCCAGACCTTAATCCCATAGAAAATCTGTGGAGGGAGCTGAAGGTTCGAGTTGCCAAACGTCAGCCTCGAAACCTTAATGACTTGGAGAAGATCTGCAAAGAGGAGTGGGACAAAATCCCTCCTGAGATGTGTGCAAACCTGGTGGCCTACTACAAGAAACGTCTGACCTTGTGATTGCCAACAAGGGTTTTGCCACCAAGTACTAAGTCATGTTTTGCAGAGGGGTCCAATACTTATTTCCCTCATTAAAATGCAAATCAATTTATAACATTTTTGACATTTGTTTTTCTGGATTTTTCTGGATTAGTTTGTTGTTATTCTGTCTCTCACTGTTCAAATAAACCTACCATTAAAATTATAGACTGATCACGTCTTTGTCAGTGGGCAAACGTACAAAATCAGCAGGGGATCAAATACTTTTTTCCCTCACTGTATAACATATGTTGCTGCTCTTATGATCGAAAAGAGCTTCTGGACATCAGAACAGCGATTACTCACCTCTCTCTCGCTCCCTGCCTCTCTCTCTCGCTCCCTGCCTCTCTCTCGCTCCTTGCCTCTCTCTCTCTCTCTCGCTCCCTGCCTCTCTTCTCTCTCTCGCGCATCATGCCGATGCTCTGTCTCTCCATCTCAGCGTCCCTGCCTCCCTCTCTCTTCTCTGCACTCTCTCATCTCTCTTGCCTCTCTCTCTTATCCATTGCCCTCTCTCTCTCTCGCTCTTCCTCCTCCCTCTCCTCTCTGCCCTGCTCTCTATCCCTCTCGATCTCTCTCCTCCTCTAACCTCTCTGATCCTCTTCTCTCTCCTCTGCATTCCTCTCTATATCTTCTCGATCTTCTCTCTCTCTCTCTCTCCTCTCTCCTCTTCGTCTATGCTCTCTCCTCTCCTCCTCTGCTCTATTCTCTCTCCTTCCCTCCCACCTCTCTCTTCTCTCTCTCTCTCTCTCCTGCCACTCTTCGCTCTCTGCCTCTCTCGCTCTCTTGCCTCTCTCGCTCTCTGCCCTCTCGCTCTCTGCCTCTCTCGCTCTCTGCCTCGCTCGCCTCTCTGCCTCTCTGCCTCTCTCTCTCTCGCCTCTGCCTCTCTCTCTCTCGCTCGCTGCCTCTCTCTCTTCTCGCTCTCTGCCCATCAGCGTCAGCTCTGCTAACTCTCAGTCTGATACTACACAGTACTTGTCTCGCTCCCCTGCCTCTCTCTCTCTCTCTCATCTACGCGTATCGATCCCTGCCTCTCGCTGTGGCTCTCTCCTCTCGCACCTCTCTCCTCTCCTTGAACTCTCTCTACTTCAAGCTCATGACTATCTCTACTATCTTGCGCTGTCTCTCGGCCTCTCTCTCTCTCCGCCCAGATCATACAAGGCGAACTCGGAACCGTGCTCGCTCTAATCTGCTATCTCCTGCCTTGCATACTGCCTCTATATTCGGACCGCACTCTGCATTGCACTACTCTAAACTCGTGTCTCTATCGTACTCCTCTCTCTCTCACGTCTCTATATCTCTCTCTCTCTCTTGGCTCTCCTGCATCTGCGATAATCTCTACTCGTCTATATGCTAGTCTCAGTAGCTACCTCTGACCTTCTCGCTCTCTGCCTCTCTCGCTCTCTGCCTCTCTCGCTACTTAATGCCTGTATCGCTGTATCGTCTTCTGGACCTCTCTCTCTCTCGCGCTCCTGCCTTCTCTCTCTCTCGCTCTCTGCTCTCTCTCACTCTCGCTCTCTGCTCGCTCTCGCTCTCTGCAGATCTCTCTCGCACGCTCTCTGCCTCTATCGCTACTCTGCCTCTCTATCTTCTCTCTCTCTTTGCCTCTCTTTCTCTCTGCTCTCTCGCATCTCTGCTTCTCAGTGCTCTCGTCTACTCCTCTAGCCTCCAGGTAACTTGGTTTGAAGCACAGGGAAGATGTCAACCTGGGACGGAATGCGGTGAAGAATATAGAAAACTAAGGGAGGTGACACCGTATACGGTAGCCACACAGTATATGTCACGGGGAGAAGACTAGCACACCGACAGCCGGTTCCATTGAGAAGCAACACATTCATGTAGTTCTTGAACCAGAGCGCTAGCCACCTAACAACAGAAAGAGCCAATTAAGTAGTATGGTTAAAGTGTCTGTGGAAAGAACTATAAATTGTGGTATCAAAAACCGAGGCTTGACACAGGTGTGAACTAAGCATGCTTCACGTAATATATGTCCCTCTCTATATTTTCTCTACCCTACTCTTTTCCCTCCTCTCTCTCGTTCTCTCTCTACCTCTCTCTCCGCTTCTGTAGTCGAAGGAGTCTTCGTCGGTGCTTAGCTGTGACATCTCAGTCGATGATAAGTATATAGTTACAGGTTCTGGAGATAAGAAGGCCACTGTCTATGAAGTAATCTACTAGACTGCACTAGTGAGCGGGTCGGCCACTGACAAACCAAAGTGGCTTTCTACTGTCCTACATCTCCCCTGGGTCAGGGGATCCTACAGAGCATTCTATATATGTGACCTTTCTACTGTCCTACAGCAGACCCTGGGTCAGTTGATCCTACAGAACATTCTATATGCATTACCATGGGCAGAGCCCCCAGAACAATGACTGATGGACAGACAGACAGCAAGACGGACCGAAACCTCAGAGATGCCGAATTAACAGCGTTGTAGTTTTTATTTTGACAGACAAAGAATGTGAATGGCCTGGTGACCTCTACCCTTTGTGACCCCTAACCTCTGACCCCAGCCTGCTTTTCTGCCAGACATGAGCCCCCACTCTGACCTTTAACCCTAGTACCGTGTCCCATCCTACATGTCCACTATCGTGTGATTAGTTCAGTTTTATTCTCTTTGTTTTTTTGTTATCGGTCGAGCGTTTGTAAAAAAGTGTATATATTTCTTTTCTTACAGTAAATGCTTTAGAAATAACAGAAATGTTTGGTATGTCTTTTACATGGAAAAAAATCTAACCAGGAAAAACACTAAATGGTCTTAATGCTAGCTAATATAAATCGAATGAAATTACTAGACAATAAATGTTCTTTGTTTCGAACAAACGTCTTTTCTCTGGCTTCCAAAGTAGTGAACTGTATCGTTCTAGTTCTTATATTAGTAAGGTCATGACCTTCCATCCAACAGGCCCTATATTCAGACTGCATAGTCTAGTTCAGGGGTCTTCAACATTTTCTTTCCCAGGGACCCCCTCCCAGGCAAACCGGCGACCCAGAGACCCCCATCATAAGTTAGCAAAAAGAGAAGAGAGAAGTAATCAATATTTTAAAATGAATAGATTTGGTAAATAGTTTTTCATTATTTTGACTTTCCCACATTATAATTGGAAGAGGAAGTGTAAACACTTAACAGCCTATTAGCTAGAAAGGTAACTCCAAACACATGTTTACTAAGAGCATCTGTTTAGCTGGTTAAACAAAGGTTAGGGTATGTCCAAGTCAAGAAAGCTTACCTACACTGGTAGCCTATTCGCGTGTAATAATTGGCTCCAATGAGTGTAATTTGCTCAATATTAGAAAGAAGGTATTCTCTTTTCTACCATAGATATGTAATTCAAAATGTGTTTATTCTGTTGCTAGTGATATTCATCAACCTTAGGGGGAAAAATACACTCGTACTGAACAAAAATATAAACGCAACAATTTCATTGATTTTACTGAGTTACAATTCATATGAGGAAATCAGTCAATTGAAATAAATTAATTAAGCCCTAATCTATAGATTTACATGACAGGCACATGACAGGGCAGGGGCACAGCCTTGGGTGGGCCTGGGAGGGCATAGGCCCATCCACTTGGGAGCCAGGCCAGGCCAATCAGAATGAGTTTCTCCCCACAAAAGGGCTTTATTACACAGAAATACTCCTCAGTTTCATCAGCTGTCTGGGTGGCTGGTCTCAGACGATCCTGCAGGTGAAGAAGCCAGATGTGGAGGTCCTGGACTGGCGTGGTTACACGTGGTCTGCGGTTGTGAGGCTGGTTGAAAGTACTGCCAAATTCTCAAAAACGACGTTGGAAGTGGCTTATGGTAAATAAATTATCTGGCAACAGCTCTGGTGGACATTCCTGCAGTCAGCATGCCAATTGCACTCTCCCTCCAAACTTGAGACGTCTGTGGCATTGTGTTCTGTGACAACTGCACATTTTAGTGGCCTTTTATTGTCCCCAGCACAAGGTGCACCTGTGTAATTATCATGCCGTTTAATCAGCTTCTTGATATGCCACACCTGTGAGGTGGATGGATTATCTTGGCAAAGGAGAAATGCTTACTAACAGGGATGTAAACAAATTTGTGCACAAAATTTGAGCAAAATAAGCTTTTTGTGCGTATGGAAAATTTTGGGGATCTTTTATTTCAGCTCATGAAACGTGACCAACATGTTGCATTTATATTTTTGTTCAGTACACACACACACACACTGAGTGGCCAAAACGTTAGGAACACCTTCCTAATATTGAGTTGCACCCCCTTTTGCCCTCAGAACAGCCTCAATTCGTCGGGGCATGGATTCTACAAGGTGTCAAGCGTTCCACAGGGATGCTGGCCCATGTTTACTCCAATGCTTCCCACAGTTGTCAAGTTTGCTGGATGTCCTTTGGGTGGTGGACCATTCTTGACACACGGGAAACTGTTGAGCGTGAAAAACCCAGCAGCATTGCAGTTCTTGACACATTCAAACCAGTGCGCCTGGCACCTACTACCATACCCCGTTCAAAGGCACTTAAATATTTTGTCTTGCCCATTCACCCTCTGAATGGCACACACACAATCCATGTCTCAAGGCTTAAACATCCTTCTTTAACCTGTCTCCTCCCCTTCATGTACACTGATTTTAAGTGGATTTAACAGTTGACATCAATAAGGATCATAGCTTTCACCTGGTCAGTCTGTCATGGAAATGAGCAGGTGTTCCTAATGTTTCGTACACTCTGTAGGTAGGGGGGGTGTGTGTGTGTATATGTGTGTGTATATATATATATATATATATATATATATATTATATATTATTTATTTATTATTTACTTTTCACGTACCCCCTTCATTAACCTCCGCGGACCCCCGGTTGAATACCCGTAGTCTAGCTCATATGAGGGTGATTCCATGCCAGCATTGGTGGATATTTTTTGTTGTTGTTGTTTGGAACAATATACTCTTCAAACACATCACATTTCCAGAGTGGGCTCTCTGGTACTTTTAATGATATGACCCATTTTATACATAGGTTATTAACCATCACAGCCCTCCATTAGGATTGCTCATTTAGCAAATCACCAGCAGAGGGAGTTCCCTTTTGAATCAATTTTCCCATTCACTGTGTTTGGTGGTGCTCATAAAATGTATGATACCTTCAGAATTAGCAGAGAGCCCACTCTGGACATTTGATGTACTTGTAGAGTATATTATTCCAAACAATGTCTTAAAATGAACAAAATCAAAAAGGGTACTTTTGAGATATTAATATTAATATTTGTAATGTAATAAATTAATGTGAAAATGTGTATTTCAGAATCTAGACATACTCCATATGTTAGAGCACACTATAAGGAGTATAATGACACCAAGATGTCTGTGTCGTCTGGTTCACGGATCATAGGTCAAAAATAGCCATTTTCATCATGATTTTCACAACAACAAAAAAAAGTGATACAAATGTAACCAACAAGTCAAACATCCAAATCAAATGTTATTGGTCACATACACGTGTTTAGCAGATGTTATTACGGGTGTAGCGAAAAGTTTGTGCTTCTAGCTCCGACAGTGCTGTAATAACTAACAAAGTAATATCTAACAATTTCACAACATATACCCAATACACACAAATCTAAGTAAGGAAAGGAATTAAGAATGTATACATATATGGACGAGCAATGACAGAGCAGCATGGACTAAGATACAGTAGAATATTATAGAATACAGTATATACATATGAGATGAGTAATGCAAGATATGTAAACATATGTGTTGCCCCCCCAATGAAGTTCCTATGTGAGAATTGGCAGAACAATCTGAGATACCCATAATATTTTCCACCTACGCTGGTGTGGAATCGCCCATGTAGAGATGACTGATCAGACATGGGTGAGAATGTCAAATGGCACTCATTGCTGTAGTTATAATCTAGATTTTCTCCTTAAAGCTTTTCAATGGCAGAGACATTATCCAGTGGGGCGTTACGTATGTGTTGAGGCTAATGATGTTGAGAACATAGAGGTCTGGATGAGGCCTCTGGGAAGCCTTCATTAGCTGAGCACGGCAGAGCAGACTGCCACCAGGTTTTGAGAAGGTAGGCGCGTTAGCACGGTAGTGATTGTAAGTTAATGCTAAAGCAATGATCATTAAGGCGACGGCATGGAGGTTAATTTGCAGGCTAATGTCCATTAGAGAAGGGCTTCCATGGGGAAGTGGAGGTGGAGCTGCTGCTACTCTGTCAGCTTGAAAAATGAGCTGCTCTACTTTCTCGACAGAGGGCAATGAGACTTGCTACATCCGCAATGGGAGACCGTGTGTGTTCAGTTGCATGGACATGTGTACATCAGTTTATTTGTCATGCACAGAATACAGCAAAGTGTACACAGTACAATGTAATGTTTGTGTGCTTGCAGAAGGAGTGTGGAGCACTGTTTAGGGCACTTGGGCCGTAGTACAGATGGAGTACAAGGTGCCCTAAACAAGACAAGCTGTGTAAATGGAATCTGTGTTAAATGAAGACAAATCTACTGCTAAGTACTGTAGTAACAACCATGGCAACTAGACTGTCAGGACAGTATTTAGTCATTATCTGTCAATTACACGGGGCAAGATGATACAATTCCACTGATTCTCTGAGCAAATGGAAAATGTCAAGCCTAAATTCCATCCATCTGTACTCGGAGAGAGAGTTCTCTTTTGATCTGTGCCAAGGCTGCCCCTCTCTGATATCCGGAAGGATTATTCTTTAAATCTCTCTCAAATCCCTAATCTCATTTATCCCGACGGCAAACCAAAGGTGTTCTCGCTGTGTGTGTGTCAGTCTCCCATTACTTGTGTCCAATGTATGTCTCAAACAAAGAACAGTAGCACAGTATTGATGCAGCACAGCATCACTTTCACCCATCGCTTTCACAACATTCTAGGATCATGTTATCTTAGATCTTCAATGCTACCCTACATAATGGACAGAATAGAATCCATTGAACATCTAGAATCTAGATGGTGTTCTGAGCTGCTGTTCTCTCTCCTGTCTCCCAGGCATACCATACGCCCCTCTCCCTGCTTTGTTGTTCAGTCAGTAACAGTGGAAGTGTTAGCAGGCTAATGAGCTTAGCTCTGTCTCCCACCTGAGGCGCTGAACCATACTGGGCTGATCAGAGCTGATTGAGCTGCAGGTATCTGACAGAAACACCTGTCTTCCTCCCATCTCCCTCTTCCAGCCCTGCCTCCACACCTCCCCACGCTGCACACGGCAGATAGCACAACTCAGCCCTGTCAACACGCAGGATAATCAGGAGCTGGGGATTCTGGGTAAGCCGTAATAATCCCTCAGATGGAATATGGAAAGCATCAGAGAGTTATTCTATAGGATAGAGATAAAGGTAGAGGAAAAGTGTGTGTGTGTTTGGATGCTGGTTGTGTGAAGGGAGAGTGTGTGTGTTTTGGATGCTGGTTGTGTGAAGGGAGAGTGTGTGTGTTTGGATGCTGGTTGTGTGAAGGGAGAGTGTGTGTGTTTGGATGCTGGTTGTGTGAAGGGAGAGTGTGTGTGTTTGGATGCTGGTTGTGTGAAGGGAGAGTGTGTGTGTTTGGATGCTGGTTGTGTGAAGGGAGAGTGTGTGTGTTTGGATGCTGGTTGTGTGAAGGGAGAGTGTGTGTGTATAATATGTGTGCCAGCTGTGTGTATGTGCATGTGAAATGTATTTCAGGGAAAGAAAATAAGATGTATTCAGAGCCCTCCACATCCCAGAGAAGGTACTACTGCTTGACACCCTTCCACAGTAACTTCCTCTTAATATTAAGTCAATCCCCAAAAGCCTAATTTAGTCAAATGCAAAAGAGGATTCACATTCTCATCTTAATCAAGTAGCAGCTGTGGATACTGTACCACTAAAGCGCCTCTGTCAGACAAATCTCATGAGCAATATAAAATAATATCTTAATTTGCTGCTTTATAAGGCTAATAATTATGCCATATACTGTGTGTAAATGTCAGCTCTTGTGCAAACATTTTCGTGTTAATGGCAGTCTATAAATGTCTGAGAAAAGCAGAGCATCAGATGGAGAGAAGAAATAGCACTAGTTTGAAACCTTAATAACCTTTTTCCTCTCTCTCTCTCTCTCTCTCTCTCGCTCTCGCTCTCTGTCTCTTTCCCTCTCTCTGTCTCTCTTCTTTTCCTCCCTCTCTCTTTCTCTTCTCTCTCTCTTCTCTTCCTCTCTCTTCTCTCTCTCTCTTCTCTTCGTCTCCCTTCTCTCTCTCTCTCTTCCTCTCCCTCTCTCTCTTTCTCTCTTCCTCTCTCCCTTTCTCTCTTCCTCTGTCTCTCTGTCTCTCTCTTCTCTTCCTTCTATCCTTTTTCTCATTTCTTCACTACTGAGATGATTAGTGTAATCAGCTGGCTGTGAGAATGATGCCGTTATTAACCGGTCTACTGTCAGGAGGTTTTCTGGAGCAGTGGATGATTGTGGGAGCAGGCAGGGATTGTGTAGCTTCATTTCAGTTAAGTGGTTAATCACTATATTACTAATTGCCCCTTTACAGTCTTTAAGAGGGAGGCGAAGTAATCCATTTTTACTCCATGTCTCTTCACTACAGAGGGAATATAACCTACAGACATTGAGCACACAAACCTCATCACACAGCCCCCTAAATACCTGGCCCTCTATTCCCCTCTTCTCACTCACTGCTGCTCTTCATGACTTTCTGATGTAGACTACTTTCGTCAATGCCAAAGCCTTGACAGAGCTCATCAATCAGTGCTCACTGAGTCAATGAGCTTAAATGAAGATGCTAGAGACGGGCAATCCAATATATTGATTTCCACTGCCTACCTACACACACACACACACACAGAGAGAGTAGTCTAAACATCAATCCAATGGCATTCACACAATATAGGACTGTGCAAATAGATACTTATCGCTTCTCACATCAGACTTGAGAATCAATGTTTCATCAACATAAAACGCCCTTGACAAGAGATGAAAGGTTGAAACTTTTGATTGAGCCCAAAATACATGAAAACCCTGCAGTCTCTCCCAGGGCTCTCTGATAATCTCTCATCTCTGTGTTTATCCTTGGCTTTGGCGTTCTCCTGCGCGACATAGTCATTTAAATCATGTAAAACCTTGGTTAATTATGCTTGGGGAAATAATCTCCAACCGCTATGGAGCCCGAGCCCAGCAGACCCTCCCCAGGGCCCAACTTTCGAGGGTTTTAATCGGTAAAATATGTGCGCGCGACGTCGCTAATCTCAAAGTAATCTCAGACAATTTATTTTATTTTATTTATTTTATGGGATTTCATACAGCCACAGATCAGACCTGATTTGCATAATCCTCTGATTCTGTTAAAACAAACGTTTGTCCTTTTGTTAAAATAAATGTGTCAATGTCACCTCCTACCTTAACATTAAATATTCAAAAATTCCCCATGATTCTGCCTCTAATGAGGTGATATTAGTGTAGGTGAACCCTACATCTGTTTCTGGAGCCCAACACCGCAAATAATCATCCTGATTATATTAATTATGATAATCATAAGTGCATTAACTAGATCAATTTTAACTAGTCAGTGAAAATATCTGTATATTTGTGTGTTTGCATGCATTACAAGAGTGCATCTGTGTCTGCGTGCTTCTCTGCATATGGATGTCTCTCCGATGAAACTCTTGCAGCTCCTCCACTGACCTCCATTTTCCGGTTAGTGAGTTTAGTGAAATCCTTCGTGTGGAGAAGCAGTGATAAACTGGGGAGGAGTGCGGGAGGGGAGGGCAGCCCGGAGGCGAGTGGGAGGGGGCACGCTCGGCTGACTCCATCACTCCTGGAGAGGGTGAGTTAAGGTGGAGGCAGACCCTGGGCCTGCCTCCATTATCATCTGCAATCTCTCGCCATCTCTCTCCTTCCACCCCATCTCTCTCCTTCCCCTCTATTTTTATCCCTCTACTCCTCTCCATTCCCCCTTCCCTCCATTCTCCCTCCCAGTCCACTCGTTCAGTCTCATCTCTCCATCTCTCTATCTCTCACACTGCTGCCAGATTAGAGATGTTGAATCGATGCTGCCTCTGCCCTCACTAAATGCTCTACAAGCTCCATTGGCGTTTCACTGGCATCTGCTGTCCTCTCTCTCTCTCTCTCCTCTCTCTCCTCTCTCTCTCTCTCTCTCTCTCTCTCTCTCTCTCTCTCTCTCTCTCTCTCTCTCTCCTCTCTCTCTCTCTCTCTCTCTCTCTCATGTAAATATTATATAGTAAATCAAATAAAATAATATGCCATTTAGCAGACGCTTTTATCCAAAGCGACTTACAGTCATGTGCGCATACATTTTTACGTATGGGTGGTCCCGGGGATCGAACCCACTACCCTGGCGTTACAAGCGCCTGCTCTACCAATTGAGCTACAGAGGACCACAAAATAATTAATGCTCTGTTATTGGAGGAGAGATGGCTGCATCTTTACATTTGACATTTTAGTCATTTAGCAGACGCTCTTATCCAGAGCGACTTACAGTTTAGTGAGTGCATACATTTTTTCATACTGGTCCCCCGTGGGAATCGAACCCACACAGTGACTAATATTGTTCTATTATAATATATTAAATATGGACCTACATCTCTAATCAGCCCACAGTGACAGCACCAGCAGTATAGTGATAATACCAGTAGTGTAGGGATAGTAGCAGTAATATCATGATAGTACTAAAAGCATTGTATCAGTATGCCAGTATCTGGAGTATAGTATCAATGTCTGTAGTAGTGTGACAGTATATGTAGTATAGCGGCAGTATCTGGAGTACTGTGGCAGTATCTGGAGTATAGCGGCAGTATCTGGAGTATAGCGGCAGTATCTGGAGTATAGCGGCAGTATCTGGAGTACTGTGGCAGTACTATAGTGTCTATGGTGAGTTTTACAGTAATAAATAAAAGCTGTAACTGTGTGTCTCTAACCAGCCCAGAGTGGCAGAAACATGCCTATGACTCATCACTGAAATAAGAGATAATCACTGACAGAAGAGATAATCACTGAAATAAGAGAATCACTGAAAGAAAGGATCATCACTGAAAGAAAGGATCATCACTGAAAGAGATAATTGCTGCCTCCTCCTTGTCTTTTCCCCCGTTTATTTTCCTCTCGCTCTCTAGCCTAGTGATTACCCCTCGTTAAAATCAGAGTAAAACAATGTTAGCGCCGATCGTTTGTGCTCTTCTGCTTCTCAGTCATTACCTCTTACTAAATGAATGGCCTTTGAGGAATGTTATTCTAATTCCAATTAGCTCTCAAAGCTTGGAGGGGAGCCAAGGTAGGAAAAAACACACACACAGATGAACACACACACAATTGCACACATACACTCACACAGTCAAGGCACAGACTCAGAACAGCAGCTAATGTCTCTGGCAAATCTCTCAGGGAACTCAAGAGCTTTAAACTACACATTGTAAATCCCTCTCCGATTAGTGAATTCACACACCGCTCCAAACGACTGTTTATCTGCCACCAATTACCACTCACAGCCACCAGAGACCTTCACTATACAAATAAGCTCTACACATGCATACATACGTACACCCACACCCACACAGAGTCTTAACAGCAGATTGCTAGGTGTCTTATCTGTCCATGTTAGTATGACGGGAGGATTTAGTCACATGACCTGAGAGACAGGAGCAGTCAGGCGCCAAAACTCATTTCCACCTTCAGTCTCTTATCTCTTCAGACTGCTCGCCGTGTGTGTGACAGAGCGTGTGAGAGAGAGTAAGTTGAGATTTGATGCGGTTGCAGTCAATATATACAGTACTGTATATATTTGTATAGCTCAAATGCATTTAACAGCAAAAATCTATAGGTCTGCCCTCTCTGTCACATACACATTCCTCGCTCGCTCTCTCTCTCTCTCTGACACACACGCCAAGGTCCCAGGGTGTGCTGCCCCGCCATTCAACTATGGTTGCCAGGGTGATGTATTATGGGTCCTACTGTCTGGTCACCTAGCTCGGTACCATCACCATGGCGACTCCAGATGCAATCTTCCTGGCCAATCAAATGGTTGTGCTGACCTGTGGAGAGCAGTGGGCCAGCCGGTGACCTGGCCTTCAACGCTATGCTAATCAGAAACGCATTAGGCTAATCCTACAGAACTCAGCTGTAGCACCACACAGATGGCAATAAACAGCATTATTAATAATAAACAGACAGCATAAGCAGCTTTATGATGTATGACAACATTATACTGTCAACATCATCCCGGAGTTCTTCCTTTTTTTACCACCATGTTATGTTATAGCAATCTTTGTGTGTGTGTGTGTGTGTGTGTGTGTGTGTGTAGGTAGGCAGGCAGTGGAAATCAATATATCGGATTGCCCGTCTCTAGCATCTTCATTTAAGCCCATTGACTCAGTGAGCACTGATTGATGAGCTCTGTCAAGGCTTTGGCATTGACGAAAGTAGTCTACATCAGAAAGTCATGAAGAGCAGCAGTGAGTGAGAAGAGGGGAATAGAGGGCCAGGTATTTAGGGGGCTGTGTGATGAGGTTTGTGTGCTCAATGTCTGTAGGTTATATTCCCTCTGTAGTGAAGAGACATGGAGTAAAAATAGATTTTTTCGCCTCCCTCTTAAAGACTGTAAAGGGGCAATTAAAGGGTCTGAGAGAGAGAAGGGTTGTACTACATACGGAAAGTATTCAGACCCCTTGACTTTTTCCACATTTTGTTACATCAGACCCTTTACTCAGTACTTTGTTGAAGCACCTTTGGCAGCGATTACAGCCTCAAAGTCTTATTGGGTATGACGCTACAAGCTTGGCACTCCTGTATTTGGGGAGTTTCTCCCATTCTTCTCTGCAGATCCTCTCAAGCTCTGTCAGGTTGGATGGGGAGTGTCGCTGCACAGCTATTTTCAGGTCTCTCCAGCAATGTTAGATCGGGTTCAAGTCCGTGCCACTCAAGGACATTCACTCCTGCGTTGTCTTGGCTGTGTGCTTAGGGTTGTTGTCCTGTTGGAAGTTGAACCTTCACCCCAGTCTGAAGTCTTGAGCACTCTGGAGCAGGTTTTCATCAAGTATTTCTGTACTTTGCTCCGTTCATCTTTCCCTCGATCCTGACTAGTCTCTCAGTCCCTGCCACTGAAAAACATTACATTTACATTTTACATTTTAGTCATTTAGCAGACGCTCTTATCAAGAGCGACTTACAGTTAGTGAGTGCATACATTTTCATACTGGCCCCCCGTGGGAAACTAACCCACAACCCTGGCGTTGCAAGCACCATGCTCTACCAACTGAGCTACAGGGGACTACGGCATGATGCTACCACCACCATGCTTTACCGTAGGGATAGTGCCAAGTTTCCTCCAGACTTGACGCCTGGCATTCAGCCCAAAGAGTTCAATCTTGGTTTCATCAGACCAGAGAATCTTGTTTCTCATGGTCTGAGAGTCCTTTAGGTATTTCTGTTTTACATTTTTTATAAATTTGCAAAGATTTCTAAAACCTGTTTTCGCTTTGTCATTATGGGGTATTGTGTGTAGATTGATGAGGAAAAATGTTGATTTAATCAATTTCAGAACAAGGCTGTAACGTAACAAAATGTAGAAAAGGTCAAGGGGTCTGAAAACTTTCCCGAATGCACTGTATCAGTGAAAAGTGTTCCATGACCTGAGTGCCATAGAGCAGTAGGAGGTCGAAGGGAATTGTGATGCTCTGGCATGTCTGTTTGTGAGTGCTTACCAAGCTCTCCATACACAAATGGGAGTTATCCTAATAGGTCATGACTGGTAGTTAAGGCCATAGAAATAGAATGAATAGAACGGACTTGGAACCTCTAACCCTGGCAATTTGACTGGTAAACGCATGGGTACACTCGCAATGGCTGCCTGGTATTGTGATGCAAGAATTTCCATGGTAATGTAGAATGTTCATTCAAATTATGCTAATTGATGTTGCTCATGCAATTGAATATATTTTTTGTAATGTCAGTTGAGTTGATTCAACAAATCACAGCACAGATTGATGGGTACACTTCCTGCTTTGCTCCTATGGGTACACTCGCAATGGCCACCAGTCCACCCATTATGCCATCATTGGGAGGCCCATTCTATTCATTCTATTTCTATGGTTAAGGCATTCTGTGGTGAAGATTATCCAGTTAGGTATTATAGTCCTACATGGAGGCTTAATCCTGGAATGGTGTGCCATCAGTGCTTTTACTCCAGAGGATTTCATTTGTTCCGTATGTTGGTTTTTGATCTGTGGGAAGAAGGATAAGAGGCCACTTAATTTCTAGATGAGTACTGCTGGTCACAATAGACAGTGTTTATAGTTCTGTGTTTTTATTTCTATTCGTTTTCAGATTTTTTTTTGAAATTCAGTTTAGTTTATGTTAGTTTTCAGACCTGATTTGCTAGTTTTTATTTAGTTTTAGTTGTATAAAAATATTTATATTTCGTTTTTATATTATTTTGTGTTAGGGGCAGAAAGCATGTGTTGGAGACATTTGTGTTGCATAGTTTTTTGGGGGATGTCTTCTTGCAACTGTGGGGCAGTAATACATAATGTTTATTTATTTTTATTTCACCTTTATTTAACCAGGTAAGCCAGTTGAGAACAAGTTCTCATTTACAACTGCGACCTGGCCAAGATAAAGCAAAGCAGTGCGATAAAAACAACAACACAGAGTTACATATGGGGTAAACAAAACATAAAGTCAAAAATACAACAGAAAATATATATACAGTGTGTGCAAATGTAGCAAGTTATGGAGGTAAGGCAATAAATAGGCTATAGTGCAAAATAATTACAATAGTATTAACACTGGAATGCTAGATGTGCAAGAGATTATGTGCAAATAGAGATACTGGGGTGCAAAAGAGCAAAATAAATAACAATATAGGGATGAGGTAGTTGGGTGGGCTAATTTCAGATAGGCTGTGTACAGGTGCAGTGATCGGTAAGGTGCTCTGACAACTGATGCTTAAAGTTAGTGAGGGAGATAAGAGTCTCCAGCTTCAGAGATTTTTGCAATTCGTTCCAGTCATTGGCAGCAGAGAACTGGAAGGAATGGCGGCCAAAGGAGGTGTTGGCTTTGGGAATGACCAGTGAGATATACCTGCTGGAGCGCAGACTACGGGTGGGTGCTGCTATGGTGACCAATGAGCTAAGATAAGGCGGGGATTTGCCTAGCAGTGATTTATAGATGGCCTGGAGCCAGTGGGTTTGACGACGAACATGTAGTGAGGACCGGCCAACAAGAGCGTACAGGTCACAGTGGTGGGTAGCGTATGGGGCTTTGGAGACAAAACGGATGGCACTGTGATAGACTACATCCAATTTGCTGAGTAGAGTGTTGGAGGCTATTTTGTAAATGACATCGCCAAAGTCAAGGATCAGTAGGATAGTCAGTTTTACGAGGGCATGTTTGGCAGCATGAGTGAAGGAGGCTTTGTTGCGAAATAGGAAGCCGATTCTAGATTTAACTTTGGATTGGAGATTCTTTATGTGAGTCTGGAAGGAGAGTTTACAGTCTAACCAGACACCTAGGTATTTGTAGTTGTCCACATACTCTAGGTCAGACCCGTCAAGAGTGGTGATTCTAGTCGGGTGGGCGGGTGCCAGCAGCGTTCGATTGAAAAGCATGCATTTAGTTTTACTAGTGTTTAAGAGCAGTTGGAGGCTACTGAAGGAGTGTTGTATGGCATTGAAGCTCGTTTGGAGGTTTGTTAACACAGTGTCCAATGAAGGGCCAGATGTATACAAAATGGTGTCGTCTGCGTAGAGGTGGATCTGAGAGTCACCAGCAGCAAGAGCGACATCATTGATATACACGGAGAAAAGTGTCGGCCCAAGAATTGAACCCTGTGGCACCCCCATAGAGACTGCCATAGGTCCAGACAACAGGCCCTCCGATTTGACACACTGAACTCTATCTGAGAAGTAGTTGGTGAACCAGGCGAGGCAGTCATTTGAGAAACCAAGGCTATTTAGTCTGCCAATAAGAATGCGGTGGTTGACAGAGTCGAAAGCCTTGGCCAGGTCGATGAAGACGGCTGCACAGTACTGTCTATTATCAATCGCGGTTATAATATCGTTTAGGACCTTGAGCGTGGCTGAAGTGCACCCATGACCAGCTCGGAAACCGGATTGCATAGCGGAGAAGGTACGGTGGTATTCGAAATGGTCGGTGATCTGTTTGTTAACTTGGCTTTCAAATACTTTCGAAAGGCAGGGCAGGATGGATATAGGTCTGTAGCAGTTTGGATCTAGAGTGTCACCCCCTTTGAAGAGGGGGATGACCGCGGCAGCTTTCCAATCTCTGGGGATCTCAGACGTTATGAAAGAGAGGTTGAACAGACTAGTAATAGGGGTTGCGACAATTTCGGCGGCTAGTTTTAGAAAGAAAGGGTCCAGATTGTCTAGCCCAGCTGATTTGTAGGGGTCCAGATTTTGCAGCTCTTTCAAAACGTCAGCTGTCTGAATTTGTGTGAAGGAGAAGCGGGGGGGGGCATGGGCAAGTTTCAGCGGAGGGTGCAGAGTTGGTGGCCGGGGTAGTGGTAGCCAGATGGAAAGCATGGCCAGCTGTAGCAAAATGCTTGTTGAAATTCTCGATTATTGTAGATTTATCGGTGGTGATAGTGTTTCCTAGCCTCAGTGCTAGTGGGCAACTGGGAGGAAGTGCTCTTATTCTCCATGGACTTTACAGTGTCCATGGATTTGTCAGGTCATAGGTTAGGTTTAAATGATTAAGTCAATCTCAATGTGACTTGGATTTAAAAGGAATAGCGCTAAGACTGGTGCAAAAAATATGGTGGAAGCCAGGAAACTTTATCTTGTGTACGTTTACTCCAATCCAATGCTTTTTAAGTTTAGTAGTACATGTAAGAAGAATTAAGTTAGCTACCTAACCGATTTTTCCCTATTCCCTATTAGTGATCAATGATTATCTATATACTGACAAGATACTGGACTGACCGCTCTAACAATGGGAATAAATGTCTGCAAAGGCGATGAGGAGGCGGGATCCGGCGGGGGCAGATACGTGTGAACAACAACAGGCACAATGCTGATAAAAAATTGTTTTTCTCAAAGTTACCG